GCGGGCTGCAGGCAAGACATAATTTGGATTGGTTGCATGAGTTGGTGTCTATGCAAAAAGGGCTTTCCAAGCTACTTTTATTCCTGGCTAGAACTTGTTGCTGAAGTATATGAAGGCTGTGCATTTGACTCAGCTCAGCACGGCTCCTCCACTACAGGCCCCGCAGACCTGATATGAGAAATAGTAACTCACATCAAAGCGTTCTTAAATCATACAGACTGCTAGAGTGAAAAATGCCTGAAAATAATATTTTTGGGAAATTGGGTATTGTACAACCCTTCAATCCTGACAGTTTGTTAATGTTATTTTTAATGTGTGAGTTAGTGAAGAATTGTTCCAGAGGGCTCCAGTTTCAGATTACAAAGTTGCGACAGAGCATTACGAATCACTGGATAGGGCTTTATCATTTATTTATAGGAGGTTGTCTCCTGGTTTTAGTCATTTATTGTACCAGTAATGTCTTTGCGTACTTACAGTAGAACAGTGTTCCCCAAGCCTTTTGAGATGTGGAAAAACCATTTCTTATTAAAACAATCACACTGCACACTAAGCTACCATCTGAAAATGATACTAAAATGAAACACAGCAACCTTTCCTAACAATGCAAGTCATTCTCATCTTGTCTCTCTCTAGTCTGGATTTAGGCATTCGGAATCTGAGGTCAATTCCTACATATACGTCTGGGTCTGATCATAATGGCTGCCGTTACCTCGGTTGAATCCCCTCCGACCAATCAGCAAGTGGGGGAGGCGGGTGTTGTAGGTAGATGTCACAACATGACACCAATTTGCCAGTTGTAGTTTGGCAAAATCATTGTTGGCAAAGATGTGGTTCTACTCCCCACAGGCTCCGTTAGTGCCAAAGGAGATGTTAGGCTAAATACTAGGGACTTGGGCGCATTATATATGTCCCGGTAAACTCAGATCCAATCGTTTGACTAAATGCCATTTGTAAGATGATCTGGTAAGGCAAGTTTTTCTCTTACTTTTCACAGTATTTGACCAATTAAGTGATACACCAAGCATCTTAACACTATGGTACCACGGCACACTGGTTGAAAAACACTGCAGTATAGGCCTGGCATCTGTTTATCTCTGACAGATTATCGTCCTGAATCTTTGCAGCCTCAAAAGAATCAAAATCGTCCTTCAAAACCCAGCTACGGTTAAGTCTGCAACCACACTGCCATAATCATACATTGTTGTGGGGCCGTAGAGACTCATTAGATTCCTTTGTGCTTGTATCTGGTGGAAACATAATTACAAGCTTTTGACTCCAGATCCGAAACTACGTAAGTGAAACGTCTCAATCTGGATTCTGCCCGTGTGTTAATACAATACAATACAATACAATACAATTTATTCTTGTATAGCCCTAGGTCACAACAGAAGTCATCTCAGAGGACTTTACAAAACCATTGAAATCACCAACACAGGTCAGAGAATCAACAGTTAAAACACATGAAGAATATAAAGCACACACAGAAGAAATGAACGTAATTCATTCGTTCACGTTAATGAACGTACATTCAGCAAAGTCATTTACACAAACATTAAACTGCTATTTTAGTGCACAAGGCATGGCGCCACAGAAGTGCTCATCTTGTGGCGTGCTTGCGGGACCCTATTGTGCTTAGGAGGAAGAATTTAGTAAAGGGCAAAGCGAATTATCCAGCACATTTGCCTCCCGAGGTTTATTAAATTTGCCAAAGTGCTTGTGAGTGATGCACATGTTATCCTCTTAACAGTGAAATTACTATATACTCCAGCAATTACTTAATGTACACTAATGAGATTTTCCTGTGAAATGGAAGAATTAATTTAGTTTATTGTTTAGCATTCCACTGAGCCGCTCATGCGTCGCAGCCCTCAGAGGAGAGAGTTCACTTTGTACCATACAAAGGCACTAATGTGATCCACTCGTATACAACAGTGTAAAGGACATCAGGGCTATTTTAAACCTGTTACCCAACTATTGTCGAGCCTCGGTGAAATAAGAACACATGTATTTACAATCACCACCAATTTTTTTGTATTATTATGGGAAATAAATAGCTATACAAGAGATCTGGCCTTGTCTAAGTTACAAGGACCGCGATTGTGTATCTGCTCTGATTGCGTGTCCGTGTTATGACTCTAACTTGTTCTGATCGTCTCTTGATGCGACACGTTTGTCTTTCCATGTGTGACGTACGTGTGAGACTATATAGAGCATGTTCTAACTTGGTTTTGTCTGATAAAATACTGAAAAAAACCAGAAGGAAACTGAGAATTTACTTCCAGATTGTGGGGATGCGTAAAGATCCCATAGATACATGTAGTGAAATAAATTAAAAAAACATGGCCAACCAACCTTTTCTGCATTAAAAGGCTTTTGTTTTTTCATGCCTCAATAGACCTTACAGAGCCCCAACACTTTTCAGGGAACAGGCCTTAATCAAGAAAGAAAAAATCCATAATAGTAATTCCTTCTTAAAGCTGCACTAACTGACTTTATTTTTGTATTTATTACAAAAATGCTATCCATGTCCATGCAGTGCATTGGGATAAACGTCCTTTTGAAGAAAAAGTAGCGCAGGTTTGTGCTGGCGTGACATTATATTTTAGATCGAGTTTTGATGAAACAAGGAAGAGATGTGTTTCGGGTCGCAGATTGTGACCAATCACAGCGCACCACTAGCCCCCACTTTTGTGAGAAATCTGCAGGTCTCCGTTAGCACAGACGGCTGAGTTAGCACAACAAGCCGAGGAGCTAACCTGAAGCTTCCTTGTCTTCGTCACCGGTTACTGCTTACACAGCGAGACAGCCATCCAATAGAAAGTCCCGTTCCTCCGTGCTTCCCGGTTCTATCGTTCTATGGTCACGCCATCCACGTGCAAATCCATATCCATGTATTATCCATATTGGGAGACGCTAGCTCCGTCAACAACAGTGGGTGTGTGTGGGGGGCGATAGCTTCGAGGGTGCGGGGAGGGGAGCAGAAAGGGCGAGGCCAGAGAGTCCGCGGCTTCAACATCCCAAAGTCAGTTAATGCAGCTTTAATATACTCTACATGATCTACATATTCTCGGAATTGAAATTCATAATAAAAACATTTCAGATTCAGAAAGCCCTACAGACAATTCATTAGTAGCTACACAGTCCAAACGCATCAATAAAAATATATATATTGTATTTAAATAGTATTTATCATTTCATTTCATTCAACAACAAAAGGTATGGCAAGCTTATTTGTATACTATATAGATTATACTATATACATCATTTACATTAACTTTTTATTTTGTCGGGTGTTTAGTGAAAATAGCAAATATTTGTAGGATATAAAACATATTTAAAAAGTAGCAACACCAATGCTTCCAAATCGTCCAAGCGTACCCAAAAACAGTCCCAGAAGATATTATTAAAAGTAAAACTAAGAAAAATACTACCGTTTCCTTTATGCAGAGGTAATTACATATTCTCTGAGTTTGTCTCGCTAACCCAAATTCCTCCTAAAATTATTAATGTGCTTTCTTTAGTGTACAAACTCATTTTAACATTAGCGATTTTTGCTGCTGCGACTGAGTGAGAAAAGCTGTATTTTTAATGTGTATGTTCTCTGTCGACATGGATTCAGTGACTGCGACATGAGTGTGAAAAAGCAGCAGCTGGGGATTATAATCTGAAAGGTAGAACGGGGACGATGAGGCTGGATCCTGATGTGTAAAGACCATCTTCATCATCTGAGTCACACAAGCTTTTGAAGTCGATCTGCAATTTATACAACAGTGGTATGATGTGTTCCGACTGCAAAACAGAGCTATTTACTGCACTTGTCAAACTGTTGTGATTTTTCAGGAGCCATTTTAGGAGTAGACAAGGACTTATGATTCTTGTCTGCACTACCAGGGAAAAAAACTCAAAAACATTTATACGTGCTGTTGCTTGCTCTGTGGGTCTGTGTGTTTTTGCTCCAAGTTGAATACAAGCCTCAGTCAAAAAATAAATGCCAGTGTATGTACAAATGACGAAGTGTGCCTATGTTAACTGAGCTGGAGTTGGCTGGATGATACTGCTAGCTTGTGTTTATGATCTTAAAGGTACTCTGTGTCATTTTTACAGTGGCTCCAAATAAAAAAAAAAACATGTTAACCAACAATAACTTAGACCTTTTTAAGAAAGTGTACCTCAACCATGTTTTTGAATTGTACTTTAAAATACAACATATGATCTCAATGCTTGATGGGAGTACACACTACTCTGTGTACCTTTAAAGTTGTGCATGGTCACCAACCGTTGGCCGTCAAAATAAGAGTTTGGCTGAAATTAATTAAGAATTTAGATGTTTGTGGCCCTGTCAATGAATCCGACACATATCACTATAGAGCAGATTGATCCCCACAGTTGGGAAATTTCAGTGCTGCATCACCAGTTACCAAACAGTAGGAATGAGGAGCACACAACACAAGATAAATGAGCAATACATCTATATACTAAATAAAATACAATAAAAATACATGAAGAAGAAACAAGTATAACATCTCTATCTTTAGCATTATGAGTTCATCAACTCTGACTTCAGCATAATAAAGAAGTATAGGATCTCTACCTTTGGCATGATAAGAAGCAAGTATAAAGTACTGTATGTTCTAGTGAAAGTAATATGTAGGGTAAAAGAGTATTGGTAAAAATGGCGTCTAATGGCTTTAATTGACCCGATGCTTTGAATGGCCATATCAGAAGGAAAGTATTCTTTAATCTTGCATAATTGTCCACCTTTAGCCTGATTGAGGCAGACACACAACTCCCAACAGCACTGTATACACCCAATACATATACGCCTGGCTTGGAGTAAACATTATATTTCGGTGCTGTGTTGATCTATTTTGAAAGCAGTTGAAGCAGTTTTTGGTGCGGGTAAGGAGGTGAAATAAAAAGACATCTTAATGGAGAGACAAGAGCTTGAAATGTGCTTAAGCTTTGATGACCACACACTCGGAGTCTCCCTGGATTCCATTATGTCCGCGGACATCAAAGCCTGGTTGGACGCGGCCTTTTTGTTGCTGCGATGCTTGTTGAGTAAATGTGACGGGTGGCGAAGCGTTCTCTCCTCTCTGCTGTACTACATAATATGCCCAACATGTTCTCCTTTGTGGTTTTCTGTCTTTCATCTTGATGCGAGATTGAATTCTTTCTTCCGTCTTTGTGTTTCCAGGGGGGATCTTTGAACAGACGGATGGCCCGGTGTCGCTGGTGAGCGCGGAGGAGCTTGCCTTTAAATTTGCTGTCAATTACATCAACAGAAATAGGACTTTGCTGCCAAACACCACGCTAACGTACGACATACAAAGGATTAATATCTACGACAGTTTTGAGGCGTCGCGAAAAGGTAGGTTGAAGTGTTTTGACAGTTTGGATTGAGAAAGGTATGGTAACTGGACTGCACAAGGCTAAACAAAGCATAAAGATATGTCCTGAATGTTGAATCTTGTCTGCGAAGTCGGCAAGCTTTTTTTTTTTTAATGAAAGCACCGGTTAGACCTGCCCATTCCCACCCCCATTTCTTCCAAATTGGACGGAATGAATCAAAACAAAATGATACACAAATAAGGCCCTACTTGCCATTGATGACCCAATTAGATGTAGCAGCTGCTTTAAATACTAAGCCCAAACCGTATGTATATATATATATAGAGAGAGAGAGAGAGAGAGAGAGAGAGAGAGAGAGAGAGAGAGAGAGAGAGAGAGAGAGAGAGAGAGAGGAGAGAGAGAGAGAGAGAGAGAGAGAGAGAGAGAGAGAGAGAGAGAGAGAGAGAGAGAGAGAGAGAGAGAGAGAGAGAGAGAGTACTTTTTTGTTGCTATTTGGACGTAGGATGAGTTCAATATTTGCATTTTTAGTCCTGATGATTTATGGATTAACGCTAGGACACTTTATATTCTGTAGTACAATAAAGTCCATAAATACCGGGCCTCAACATCTGCATTAACGTGTAAAAGCAGTAAAAAGTCAAAACACATCATATTTAAGCACAATTGTCTCTTTTTCTATGAAGGAATAACAACTGGAATGTAAAAAGTGTTAGTTTTTTATATTTCATCTGTTCAGACCTAGAACACCACAATAAGCAGCAAATACTTTGGTCTGGAGACAAACAAAAGCTTTTTTTGGCGACATTCCTCAGAATTCAATTGGCTTTGATTTGTTTTTTATATGGTTTGTATAGAGACTCTTCAAATATATAGAGTTCTTCAAATACATTCTATGATGGGAAGACCACATTTTCATTCAGCCCGATAGAATTCTGAGAAATTACCCCAAAAAATTGCTTTTATTTGTTTTTTATAGTATAATAATTGAATGCTTATTGTCATGTTTTTGGTTTCAGAACAGGAGGAAATCTCAAAACTAACACTATTTTACATTCATTGTCATTGGCAGACAAAATGAAGCCTGATGAAAGTGGTGATAAGTGTGAAAACTAGTCTATCTCAAAATGTAACTTTTAAACAATCCAATATGAAGCAGTGTATATAATTAAACAGTATTTATATATTTCTCCCCAAACGTCCCCTCCTCCCTCCTGACGTGTCCGTGTCTCTGCTTCAGCCTGTGACCAGCTGGCTTTAGGCGTGGTCGCCATTTTCGGGCCTTCTCACAGCTCCTCGTCCAACGCCGTGCAGTCCATCTGTAATGCGCTGGAGGTTCCACACATCCAGGTGAGGTGGAAACATCACCCCATGGACAACAGAGACACCTTCTACGCCAACCTGTACCCGGACTACTCCTCGCTCAGCTACGCCATCCTGGACCTGGTGCAGTTCCTCCGCTGGAAGACGGCTACGGTGGTGTACGACGACAGCACAGGTGAGAGACGGAATCTAATGTTTGAATGACGGTTATTGTCGTGAGCTGTTCAGGCAACATTATGCACATTTTTAGTTTAGCACTCGCAACGAAAACGGATGGTTCATTTAAAATCTCAAATCATTAACAACAAAACAAGGAATAAAACCAGGATTTCCTTTTGGGCCTTTGTGAAAAAGATGTTGGTTATAGATTGGTTGGTTACAAAACTCTTGTTTATTGAATTATTATGGTCCCAGTTAGATTCGTCTGCATATCTGGCAACCTGAGTCAGGGAGAGTAGGAGAGGTTGCAGTACCATAGTTGGCCGGATTTTTACTGCTCATTTAATGGTATTCAGAATCAGAATCAGAACAGGAAGTCACAGACTTGCAGAAACGTATTTAGAATCAAAACACACTAATCGTATGACAATCGTATGACCCAATGACAATTACAGATAGGTACTATATGTTTAATAACGAGAGTCACAGAAAAAAACAAAAGTATATTATTCAAGTGCCCTGCTTGGTGCTGGCCGTCTTCTCTCCTCGGGGTTAAGTGTAGAACTCTGACCACTGTACAGAAGAAATAGCACATGGAAAACACAAACAAAATAGTCATTGTGAAGCAAAAAAAAAAAAAGGTCTCAAAGATACTTAGCGCATGCTACTTTTTCCAGGTTTTACAAATTAAAAAAAAAAAAAAAAAAAAAAAAACAACAATATTAAAATAGAACTAGCTTACCACAATGTATTTGATAAAACATGAAATACCAGTAAATTAAAATTAAAAAAGTAATATATTGTAAGATTTCATAACACTTTGAAGCAACTTTTGTTAAAGTTAAACTCATTCTATCAATGTGCAGAAGCCAGTACTTTTCCCTTGTTTTGTCTATCTGAAGGCCAAGCTACAAGCACACCGTGGCAGCTGCTGATTGGAGGTCTCCAAGCCTCCGCTGTGTATAATACACTTGCATTCTGTTGTTCGTGCTGTCTCAACCATCGACAATAAAACATGTCTTCTGTCTGAATTTAAGACGCGATCCCAGACTTTGTCATCTCCTTCAATATTTGTACATCTGTGTTTTGTGTTCCAGGCCTAATACGGCTCCAGGAGCTGATCATGGCGCCCTCACGGTACAACATCAGGCTGAAGATCCGGCAGCTTCCCGTGGACTCGCAGGACGTCCGGCCGCTGCTCAAAGAGATGAAGAGGAGCAGAGAGTTTCGCATCATCTTCGACTGCGGTCACCAGATGGCCGCGCAGATCCTCAAACAGGTGCATTAGCATTAGCATTAGCGTTAGTGTTAGCGTTAGCGTTTGCATTAGCATTAAAATCGTTGCTTCAAAGTTACATGAGTGAAAACATATTTAAAAATAACATAAGCATAACACTTATTCAGCATTACACATAACTACAATACTGCAAAACATGATAATATGAGGTTATTTTACATTTGTACATATAGACACTTATAGTATATTTTTAAAACAAGATAATTTGGCTTTGTCCCATTGGCAAATCTTGTTTTAAGGCAGTCAAAATGTGCTCAAATTAAGAGTCATTTTTTCCCAATTTGAGCGTATTTTTCATAACTTTTTGCAGTGTAGAAAATGTATTTGGCTTTATACATTTACTCCTTACACTTTCCTGTTAAACTTGCAGTCGCCACAGCTGCCCTGGGTCAGACTGACAGAAGCAACCCTTCAACTTACCACAGTCACGCACACACAGACTAATACTAGGTGATGTGGGAAGTGTTTTGCCCGAGGACACATCGACAGTTTGACACTTTGAAATCCTTGTATAGCCTCACTGTGGCATCTGGTGTCCTCAGAGGTCTCCCATCACAATATCAACAACTCCCTGCTCCGCTTAGCTTCTGAGATCAGACAAAACCAGACAGGTGGCTCTGCTGAAATTGAATAAAACAGTAATAATGTTGTTTCTATATTCAATAATCAGCGGTCCACTTTACAAGCACGTGTTCTGTTATGAAATCCACATACAGTGCCTTGCGAAAGTATTCGGCCCCCTTCAACCTTTCAACATTTCTCCACATTTCAGGCTTCAAACATAAAGATATAAAATTTTCATTTTTTGTCATGAATCAACAACAAGTGGGACACAATCGTGAAGTGGAACGAAATTTATTGGATAATTTAAACTTTTTTAACAAATAAAAAACTGAAAAGTGGGGCGTGCAATATTATTCGGCCCCTTTACTTTCAGTGCAGCAAACTCACTCCAGAAGTTCAGTGAGGATCTTTGAATGATCCAATGTTGTCCTAAATGACTGATGATGATAAATAGAATGCACCTGTGTGTAATCAAGTCTCCGTATAAATGCACCTGCTCTTTGATAGTCTCAGGGTTCTGTTTAAAGCGCAGAGAGAACCATGAAGACAAAGGAACACACCAGGCAGGTCCGAGATACTGTTGTGGAGAAGTTTAAAGCCGGATTTGGATACAAAAAGATTTCCCAAGCTTTAAACATCTCAAGGAGCACGGTGCAAGCAATTTTATTGAAATGGAAGGAGTATCAGACCACTGCAAATCTACCAAGACCTGGCCGTCCCTCCAAACTTTCATCTCAAACAAGGAGAAGACTGATCAGAGATGCAGCCAAGAGGCCCATGATCACTCTGGATGAACTGCAGATAACTACAGCTGAATACTTTCGCAAGGCACTGTAATCCAATAAGCTCTTGAAGGCCACCCACATACTGTACATATTATCAGAATATGTATTTAAATATCACACAGTAGGATTAATGAAGCAAATGTAATCAGAGACGGTGACCTGTTATTACACACTGAAAAACGCGACCCCATAACCATCTTGTTGTAGGTAAACAGAACCTCAGATGCTTTGGGTATTTATAGCAAGGAATGACACATGCAATTAGTCGCAGCAGGCTACAATGGCCGCCGTTTGTTTATGCGGAAATGTGTTAAATACATCATTCTTTTACATTCAGTCACTATTTTAGGCGACCTCCATTGCGAGAACATTTTAAAGGAACATGAGCATAACATTTAATTCATTCTGAGGTCATTTTTGTATCCAATGGGAAATAATATATGTATTTGTGCTGGCTTTTTATTTTCAGGTTCATACAGTATTCAGTTGTTTGACATAATATATACATTTTAGTCTTTTTACATATAGTTCTGTTGCAAAATAACAAGACTTGAAAGTGCCATGACTTTCCGAGAATCCAACAGGGTATAACTGAGAAATTGCTTCTTTCTCTCTATTGTAGCCCAAATCTCTATGAAGTCTTTTCCTTAATGAACAACTCTGACTCATTCTTCTCTCGCTGGAAAAAAATAAGAACAAAAACAAGAAAAAAAAAAAGTGAGACGATTTCTGAAAATAAGAAAATAATACTAGCCCTAATTATGAAGTATTATTATCTTAAAACTAGTAAAAAATAAGCATAATTTATGTTATTTTTAGTGAATTATTCTTACCAAGATTTGACTTTTTTCCGTGTATGCGTTGCTCACCTTATGGAGTATGGATCTGGTTCACCTGTTCGTAAAACCTTTTTGTGCAAGATTGGCGCTGTTCTGAGCTTTAGTATAAGGTTTGATAAGTCCATTATGAGCCACAGCTGAAGTTGGATGACTGACAAATGTGTGAAGTGAAGAAGGACCCACAAAGGCAGTTGAAAATAATGTTTTAATGATGATTGGGAGTGAGTTCCAGAGGGTTTGGGCGGCAACGGCAAAGGCTCTGCCCCCCACGGTTAGTGCGGGTGATGGGAGTGAAGCGGTTGGAGTTGGCTGAGCTTATGCGGTGGATGTGTTGGTGTCAGGAGTGTCGCAAAGATGAACACGACACGCATCCGTCCATCCAATTTCTTCCTCTTTATCTGTTGCCGGGTCACGGAGGCAGCTGTCTAAGCAGAGACCCCAGACTTCCCTGTGTGGATAGAGAAGTCATGGCCCTATGTGTCATTATACACTAAGTAAGCGCCTTTCACAGACCAGAATCGCAAAGTGCTTTACAATTGTGGGCCTTTGCTCTCACTCCACACAGAGAGTGGGGTCGCCCGTACAGGAGGCACATGCCAGACCAGTGGTAGGGGAAACCGAAGCACCTGGAGGAAACCTACAGAGACACGAGGAAAACATGCAAAATCCACTCTTAACCCTATTTCGACCGGGATTCGAACCCAGGACTTTCTTGCAGCCTACAACTACTCAAGCAGTCAATTTGTCATTAATTGATATCATTCTATTCTACATATTGACCATCTTGTGTGTGTTTTCGCTCATTCTAACAAGTAAAATCTCAAAATTCCATTAAAATCTGCATTACTTTGGCGCTTGTTGTTTTGGCACAGAACCCCTCGAGGCTAAATTTACATACATTGCTCTTTAAGTATTTGGAGTCCTTGTTTTGGAACGCGGTGATTGGCAGTCAACAAAAAGCTGTCAGTGTCTTTGCGGCGCGTGAAGCTTGTGTAGGTGTATCGCGGCGCTATAGATGTTAGAATTGTGCTGGTGGATTCCCTTTCCCCTCTCTGCCTTGTCACTTTGTGTTAAAATGTTTATTAAAGGCACCATCTTCTCTGACTTGCTCAAATAACTCTGGGTTTTGGAAGTTAGTGAGATTTAGGGTGACACAAATGTGCTGTTGGGCGGGCGTGGCGGCGAACGCACAGGAATGGATGGGTTCTGGAGAGAGAGGAGGAGGAGGACAGGAGGTGTTTGTGTGGCGCGAGGAGGTCGACAGTTATGGCGTTTATTGAATTATTGTGAGCCCTCGATATAATCTAAAACATGCAGTCTGTGCCAGGTTGAATTGGTAAAGGGAATGATGTAAGATAGGATGAATGTTGAAGCTCCCACTGTCGAGAAATGTAAGGAAAAGTAAAATGTTTTTTTTAACTAATTGTATATTTTGAAGTGTTTTCACAATCATCAATCAAGTGTAGTTATAACGCACAATTCTTACAGTGTAACCCAAAGTGCTCCACAAGCAAAGACACTGACAGACAATAAAACATGAAAACAGTGTGTATAAAACAGATAAAAGTAGATAGATACTTTCTTGATCCCCGTAGGAGAAATTCAGGTGTCCAGTAGCAGCAAAAATAAAACATAAAATTGATGATTCTCAAAAGCTACCAATAGTAATTATGAAGTGAAGTGAAGACCATTTTTAAAAAAAACTGAAAAAGATTGTTTTTAGCCTGGACTTAAAACATCGTCGCTATTGTAGTAGTATCATTCTTGTATCGTGCTAAACCTTTTTGACGGTTCTTATCTAATAATGGATCAGGATTAAAAACAAAACACATAAACATAACTTTGTAATCAAATCTGTTCAAAAAGTGTATCTGTATAGTCCATACACAAGGCAACTCGAATAGCTAGACAAAATGAGTAGAAGCCTGTCCCACATTTTCAGACAGACTGTTCCATATTTTAGCTGCGTAATCCTGAAATGGTGACTCCCATGTCTAATTCTGACTATATCCCAGTTTGTTTCACCATATGATGTGGCATTTAGGGGTCTGATTTATGCACTAAAGATTGCTTTTAAAAGACAAACAGAGACAAACAAAATGTATAATTTCTAAAACTAAAAATGTTGTGTACAGCAGGTTGGATAAAGTCTGTTTCTTGACGACATACATCCAAAATAATTCAAGTTCCTTCATTATTTTGCGCGTTCATTTCAGTCTCCTCAGCCGCAGCCACCGCACCTCACTGCCGTCCGAGTCAAGCTACATTAGTTTCATTGCATATTTTGTAAACAGTTTCCAACGTATAGTGTATGTATTATTGTGTGTAATTTTATGTTTTTTGTTTATACAAAAATAAAATAAAAATCTTGTGTAATTTCCTCTTCCACAAAGTATCCCCTATGGCTTTACAAATCCAAATATAGCTGTGTGTTCGTTTGCCGTCACATGTGTGTTGCATCTTATTTACATAACCTTGGCTTTTTTAAGCGACAGATGGTACAATTAAATGGGAAGCCGAGGCGCCATGGGACTGCGCTGCCTTTGAATGTAGATTGAGTGAAACAAGTGGCAGTAATAGAGTGCTCCGATATGAGGCGGAGATTAGCCAGAGCTTTTGATTGAAGGCTCTCTCCTCTGGCACAGCCGAGAGGGGGAAGCTACAGACCACATGCCCCAAGTCATTGCAAACCATTTCAATGCATATAAAGTACGCAGCACTGATGCTACTGCAGCTCTGCGCTGCATTTGCTGCAGAAGTCACACATGGTTTGAAAAATCCTCAAATACACAAGTAGAGAATTGCTCTCACAGATATAAAACAACCAGGCTGTTTATTTTCTCCATATTTGCGTTTGTGTTGGTCTGTTGCTTCCTTGTCTCCACCTGGTTTTATGAAATATGACTTTGTGAAGATAATCAGGTATTGTTAAAAAGACCAAGATGCTGGATTTCATTCAGTTCAGTTGATTTCTGTTTAGCCCTAATTCACAACAACTGTCGTCTTGGAGGGCTTTACAAAGTTGCCGATTTCTCAACAACAGATCAGAATATAATACTGTTTGAACACAGGAAATGCAATAATAACAAACACAAATTGGAGATATTGCTCCACAGGGAACGGGAACACTGTCCACAAATGTCCTTGTGCATCACTGTCCTTAGACCCTCCTGCATCTGCAAGGATCCAGACCACATGTATGTACTGTATGTTTAGGCAAAACATCTTTCAGTGTAGGTCCATGAATCTATCTTAGACATCTCTGACACAAACACAACATTTTAACCAAACTACAGTAAAACCATCTCCATAGAGACAGACGAGCAGCTAGTTATTTGTCAGCTTCTTTTTTCAAGCAATGTTTTGAGTGCATTTATCCCCTTTTAAAATATACAACTCATATACAACCCTGAAACCCAGATCTGAACAAAAACACAAAACTAAAAAGAAAGAAATATGATGAAATCCTTGATGCTAACCCTGTTTTGTGCATGTGTTTGCAGGCGCAGACCATGGGCATGATGACAGAGTACTACCACTACATCTTCACCACTCTGGTAATGCTTCAAATCCATCTCTTTCTTCTCCCTTCCCTTTGCATGTTAGCGAGTGTTTGATGGATCCTTTCTGTAACGTCCATTTTGCCTGATAAGTTGAAGCCGTAATGGAGCTGTCAGTAGGTAAACAGGATTGTGTGTGTGAGAAGTGAGAAGGATCAGGTGGAACTAAATATAACTTGTAAATTTGAGTCCTTTTGAACCTTTTCAGAGATATTCAGGTTTAATACATTCAGTGACATCTGCACATCTCGTGGAGAATATTCTGGACTAAAAATGGGTCTTACGAGGAGTGGGTGATTTTAGCCAATACATAATACCTCATTATTAATTCCAAAAGCAGTATTGAGATATTTCAGTGCCAAGCCATCAGCATTGTGCTAAAAAGGTGCTAGATTGACTTTTAACAACACATGTTATCACTTTTTGAATTTTTTAGATGAAAAACGAATTATACTAAATAATTAACTTGAGTTGTGTTATACTTATTATTCACTAATCTTATTTTGTGTTGTGTGCCCATATAAAGCTTTATCTTGTATACATACAGGCTTAACTACTTAAAAAAAAAAAACTAATCTGTTAGATTTAAGTGCTGCTTTTGACACTATTGATCATGGCATCCTCATTCAGAGACTTGAGGACTGGGTTGGTGTTGCTGGCACCGCCCTAAGCTGGTTTAGGTCCTATTTACAAGACAGAAAGTTTTTTGTGGAGATCGAAAACTGTACCTCAGACCACTTGGCCCTGACCTGCGGAGTGCCACAGGGGTCAATCCTGGGTCCTCTTCTGTTTAATATTTACATGTTGCCTCTAGGTCAGTTGATTCACAGTAATAATGTCTCTTATCACAATTACGCTGACGATACTCAGGTCTATGTGTCCCTGACAGCAGGAGAGCATGAACCAGTGGACTCGCTCCTTCACTGTGTCCAGCAAATCGGTGATTGGATGCAAAATAACTTTCTCCAACTAAACACCGACAAAACTGAAATAATTGTTTTCGGACCCCAGAAACAAAGAGAGAGCGTTATTTGTCACCTCCAGGTTCTCTCTCTACAACCCTCAAATCAGGTCAGAAATCTAGGAGTGATAATGGACTCAGACTTAAATTTCAAAAGCCACATAAAATCTGTAACATCAGCAGCTTATTACCACCTAAAAAACATTGCTAAAATTAAAAACATAGTGTCTAAGGCAGACTTGGAGACTCTTATACACGCTTTTGTCTCCAGTCGGTTAGACTATTGCAATGGCCTGCTCACAGGTCTGTCCAAACAGGCTGTAAAACAGCTGCAGTACATTCAACATGCAGCAGCTCGAGTCCTGACCAGAACTAGGAAGTGCGACCACATTAGTCCAGTTCTCAGGTCTCTGCACTGGCTTCCTGTTCCTCAGAGAATAGACTTCAAAGCAGCTTTACTTGTGTACAAGTCTCTCCATGGTCTCGCGCCAAGGTACATCCATGACATGTTTGTGCCATATGAACCGACCCGGACTCTGAGGAGCACAGGGACTGGACTCCTGTTAGTGCCCAGAGTCGGTACTAGACATGGGCAAACTGCATTTCAGATTCATGCGGCTAGAGTCTGGAACCGTCTTCCTGAGAATGTGAGACAGGCGTCTACTCTGGCATCTTTTAAATCTAGGCTCAAAACAATTCTGTTTAGCTGCGCATATACAACTGAATGATTTTATCTTTTCATCTTTGTTTTTATCTTTAATCTTTTTAATGCACTGTGACTATTTATGATTTTAGTCCCATCTGTGATTTTAATGTTTAAAGGTTTTTAATTTTTGTGATTTTATTTTTAATGTTTTTAATATATCTTGTGCTCTTAATGTGTTTGATTTATGCATGATGTGATAGGGGATGTGAAGCGCTTTGCGTTGCCTTGTGTAGGAAAGGCGCTCTACAAATAAACGTTGATTGATTGATTGATTGATAAACACTCTGCATTTACTCAAGACATGAAGATGCATTTAAGACTGTTGCCGTATGGATTTTTGCAAGGCAGGCTTTTTCAAACACAAGGCAACTCAAAGTGCTTAACAAAACAAGATAGGAACAAAAACACAAAGCAGTAAATAATAATAATCACAGCACTTTAAAAAGAGTGAAGATACAAACCTTCTGTCGTATGCACAGAATGATTTATGAATGTATGAACGGAATGAACTATGTCAACCTGGATTTCAACATTGCCAGAGTGGAAGCCTGTCTCTCATTTTTAGCAGCATAAATTTGAAATGCTGCCACCCTATGTTTAGTCCTGACTCTGGGCACCAGCAGGAGGCCAGTTTCTGAGCTCCTAAGAATCTGAATTGGTTCATATGGCACTAACATGTCACAGATGTACTTTAGTGCGAGTTGTAACAAACAGAGCTGCTTTCTATTCTCTGAGCCACAGGAAGCCACCGCAGGGACCGGAGAACGGGACTATTGTTTCTAGTATGGACTTGAGCTGAGGTGTTTTGATATTATTCCATACACTATCTCATGGTTTTTTTACATTAATTAAATTCTGAGACACAGTAAATTCCGTTTTAAGTGAATATTTTGACTGTTTCTGTATCCATTGGCCAACATGTCCATATTTCAGTTCCTCTGTTGTTGCTATTGCTGCTGCTGCTGCTGCTGCTGACACATGTGCAAACACAACCTCTGGCCTCGTCACTGGTCAGACGGGCTCCGTGTAGAAGTGAGTGAGGAGCAGAGAGTGCTGTGCTGCTCCCCTCACTGTCGGCTCCCTCTGCATCTGTCTCTGGGTGTCTCAGGGAGGATGCAGGCGCTCTGTTGTGATGATGTGATATGACACGGAGGTCCGGGCATGATGTGTGTCATCTGTCACGCCTGACAAGTTGGACCTCAGAGGCGACTGCTGCCACAGAAAGGCTATTGTTTTCCATCGACAATGTATTTGGAGCGGAAAGAACACTAACTTTAGACCTGGAAAAGGTTAAAGTATTTGCACTAATGCCTTGTTTCTGCCTCCATGAATATAAGTGCTTTTGACTGTTCATATTGTTTCTGTATTATTCTCTGTGGACCCTGCAATTGCAAGTCTGCAGACCCTGATTTCAAACTGCAATGATTTAAAAAGTCAAACGAACTAAACTATACTATATGTTTTTCTTAAAGCTGGGTTACCAAACTACCCAACTTACTGGCTCAAAAACACTTGGTTCCATTACTAGTTTGTACATGCATGTTTATTGGCCACTGGCTTTAGATCAGCTTTTCTTCTGCCAGAAAAGGGAAAGTCCAGTCCACTCTCAGGGCTTCCTGTTTGTAGTATATACAAAAGATAAGAAGAAAACAGACAAAAATGTGATCTATTAAGACAACAAGAACTCTGCTGCCCGCCTGCTCACCCACACCTGCTCCAAAGACCACATCACCCCTGTCCTCAAACAACTCCACTGGCTCCCTGTCCCATACCGCATACGATACATGGTCCTCCCGGTCACCAACAAGTCCCTTCATAGCCTGGCCTCCTCCTATCTCACCAACCTCCTCTATCACTGCCCCTCCCGCCGACTCCAACCTCTTCTATCCCATCAGAAAATAGTGCCAAACCTTTGGCAAGGCAGGTTTATTTGTACAGCACAGCTCATACACAAGGCAACTCAAAGTGCTGATCAAGACAAGATAGAAACAATACAAGGCTATCGTTATATAAGTCTGATGTGTTATCATTACTATTAATTGAGGGAAGGCGATTTGTTTCTGAAATGATAACATTTCAGACGCTGACAATTATTTTATAATTGTACTTATGCATTTACACTATACAACATTCAAATATCTGCATCCTGAATACTTTTGATTTGTTTGGCAGCTGGGTATCGCACTGACAGTCTATCTATATGCAATCAGAGCGTAAATATATCTTAAGCTGCAGCAGTGTCACATTGATAGACACGCTATTAAGGAGATTACACCTATAGCAGCTTGATTTGATCCAAAATGATGAATACTCGGATCACAAGCAGTGCAGCACAATTTCCTTTGGATTGAGCTCACCATATCTCTTTTAGGGATCTTTGAGCACGAAGGTAAAATACTGAATTATTAGAGCGTAGGAAGCCAACAGCGCAGTACAGAACGGGGTAATAACTTCCTTGTCCTCTGAAATGGCTTTGTCAACAGCACTCTTCCCACCATTCACCAGGCAAACTTTGCATTTCTAGCCCTCGCTAATATTTATATTATACTGAACACATAATTGGTACATGCAGCTCGTTTCACATTCAAAAGGAAATATGGCGGACAGGTGTTCCCGCTTTGTATTCATAGATTTGGATTGCTGTGAAGTTAGGACAAAAATCAGGCAAAATAGACTTTTTTGAGCCTTTATCATCATACAATTTAAGACGTGGAGTTGTTTTGAAATCCTAATATTGATTCAATGTATTTTTGCAAAGCCCTAAATCATGACGGTGCTCATCTCGGAGGACTGTACGGACAGACAGAAACAAACAGATCAGAAAATCAAACAATTCAAACCAGCAATACAGCAATAATAAAAACTGGGTTTTTGCTGTCTTGTGTTTTGGTCTTGCACCGGCATGAGTTGGGGTCTGGGACTTAATGTAAACCAAATAGATTTAAAAGAAGATATTTACCCAGCTCTAAATCTAAAGATACATACAGAAACAACTGGAAGTAAACTATACAAAGGCAAAGGACACATGGAGGAGAGAGGGGGCCTTTCTGGTTCATGGTGTTGCAGAGAGAGGGTCCAAAGCATAGGCTGTAAATATTAACAGATTAATCTCCACCGGTGAAACTTACTGTATGTGTGATCACTCTTCCCTTTTGCCAACCTTTTCAAAATGGCCGCTTGCAGCCCCTCCCTCAGGAAAAGGGTGAAAAAACACTTCCCGAGAGGAGGCTGTATCATGTGCGCATGTGTTAGCCGTTCAATTAACACGTTCATTCAAAAGTTCACATCGGCTAAAGTAGACTGGTCCAAACAAATATATATATTCGGCTCCTCAGCATTGTTTTGGACCAGGCTGTAAAGCAGTTTTCGAGAGGAAACAAAGCGTCATAAGAATGCTTTGGATAATTCTGTTTCCGGGTACACCCCCACCGGCTAGGAGTCAGATTTCAAACATGTCAGCGCACATGCTTATGGACCCTTTTGAGCCGGGACCTGCCCACACTGGTCCTGAGTGAGAGACCCCCCCATCCCCACTTGATTGGTCAGTCAGGAGGGTCCGCCTAAAGACCTTTGGAGAAGAACCATTGATAGCAAAATATCAAGAACATTAATCCCAACTCCCCTCATTCTAAAACATGAACATGAATCTTGAATTAGTAAATCGCTCCTTGCATTGTAGATTATAAGTCCGTCTGAATTCTATGTAAGCTTTATAACTGACCCGTATGTCATATATTTTTAGTTTAGCTATGTGTGTGCCTATGTAAGAACCCAATATGATTATTTACTGGACTAGCTGGATTACCTGAGCAGCACTTTGGGAACAGCAACATAGAGTGAAGAGAAATATTGATTTCATTAAAATACTACTTTCTGTTAAATCTGTGAGAGAAATACGTCTGGCAGTGACAGGCAGCATGGTTTAGTAAGCGCCTTCCACGCTCCCTCTCTCCTCTGCTCTGGCCCCACAGGGTGCTAATGAAATATCTATGTTGATCCAAATGTCTTTTCTCAGCCCCCGGCCCATTCCGCACAACACATGTCAACATGTGACTTCACACTCGTACACAATAGATGTCCCACAAATTACACCGACTCAAATTCAATTGCTTTTTGCTTCAGATGTTGCCAGGGGAATGCTTCTGTTGAATTATTCATCATGCTACAGTTTGATTTTTGCTGTAATATTTTGTGATATAAACTGAAAAAAAAAAAAAAAAAAAAACTCCCACATAAGAAATGTTGGGTTTTGTCATTTCTGAAGCGATCTGGTCGAAGTGAGTCAATGAATCCCTGTATACACAATTATGAGTAGTGTTCATGTACTATTTGTTTATCGTCTTGGTTTTTTGTTATCTATTTACTTTGTAGTGCTTCAGAGACAAATTGGTTCCACATTCCAACATGGAATTTTAAATGCATCCGTCCTCGGACCTATCTCAGAGATATTGTTTGGGTTAAAGCATTATATGGAATAAGCATTAGGGACTTTAGGGAAGATTGTTGAAGAAAGTTGCTAGAACAAGATGTGCGTGGCATAATTGACTTTTCGGTTATGTATAATGACCATTTCTTGGACTTGCTGTGTGTGTCACTGCCCTACATATACACGTGACAGTATTTGCTTGATATTCGGCTAACAGAAATAAAAAATGAACACAAATATTGAACATTGGAGCTACTGGAGATCATACATAAACTAAACTATACTAATATCCTAGTATTTTATGAATTGGCTCAGACTCAAAGGTAGGGAATCAGATATGCAATTTTAAATGACACATCAAATAATATTAATACACAGTTATGATTGAAAACTCACACCCCAGAGATTAGATTAGATAAAAAAATTATACTTATTGTTAGCTGATGTGTGAAGCTATGAATTATCAAACAAACACTGTTTCTATTTTCAAATGATATCCTCCTTGAGCTAACCTGTGGACAGTGACAATGCTGTTCAAGCCAGAGACCCATGAATCTACAGGAGCTGGAGGCTTATTGGCAAGAAGAATGGTCAGCTTTACCATCAGAGAGGATAAAGAACCTCATTCACAACGACTTCAAAAGACTCCGAGCTGTCATAGATGTCAAATCAGGGTCATTTGAGTAGTTCCTGTTGTCGTTGTTATCTAAAAACAATGAATAGCTTTACACAACCGCTAACATTGGCTTAAAAAAGGGAATGGTTAGCATACATTGTCTTAACCAACGTGGTAAACTCTCAACTACAAATGTAAAGCTTAGTATATGGTACGTGAAAAAAAAGAGCCATTCTTATGCATCCATGTTATTTCTCTTCAAAGTTGATCATACGAGGCTATATTAGATCCGGTTATCCTTCCATGGAGCTGTCTGGAGTTGTCGGCCCCATCCTCACATCTCTCGATAAGCCATTGACAGCCACTGCTCTTGATCTCAAAATAGCATCTCTCTAATCAGCCTCAACGTCATTCTCGTCTTACGAAACAGCCCTGCCTGAGATAAACAATGTGACAAAAAACAGTGTAAATGAGAATGCGTCCTTCATTCCAGTTGTGCCTCTCACACACAGGACCTGATGGCCATCGACCTGGAGCCGTACCGCTTCTGTGGAGTCAACATGACCGGTTTCCGCATCCTGAACACCGACAATCCGCAGGTGGCTTCGATCGTAGAGAAGTGGTCCATGGAGAAGCAGATCCCACCCAAACCAGGACTGCTGGAGGGGGTCATGACGGTAGGTCTATTTGACTTTCTGCACCTTGTAAATCAAAGCAAATGAAGTATTGAACCTTGTAATACAATACATTTAGCTTCGACTCTAAATCTAGTCTTCACATGAACTTGATTGATAAACTTTCAGACAGAGAAGTTAAAAAGAGAGGACCACCCTCTCTCAGTCAATCAGGTCTCAGCCCAAAGTAAGAAAGTAACTAAGTAAGTATATTGTGCGTTTTCTCGGACCCAAAGCACTTTACAATGTTCAGAAATCAGATATTTTTCCTTTCTCTTCACACACAATGATTATGCAAGCGAGACGCCGAACCCACTGAACCATCTAAGCCAGGGGTGCCCAAACCTTTTGCTTCCAAGGGCCAAAGTTAAAATTTGCCAGTGGGCCGCGGGCCAAATACACCAATATTATGCATGAAACACAAATAAATGTAGATTTGATCAAGTTCTTTTAAATGCATTAATTATTGTCTATCAGTGCAAATCACAGCTGAATGAATGAAATCAACACAGTCTTAGTGAAGTGGAGACTCCAGGGAAATATGCAGGTTTGAGGAGACTACAGTACGGAAAGATTCCGGCCGGGTAATCAGGGTCCAGAGGAGGGAGATTTTCTGTCATGGCTTATTTAAAGGTTAAAATCATATAATAAAACCTCAAAAAGAGAACAGAAACATACATTTTGTGTGCACCATGTGCACTTGTATATTGTAAATAGTAACTGTAACTCTATTTTAAATTTAAATGTATTCCTTAGAAGTGTTTTTTATTCTTTTTTTATTATCTCTGTTGCACTGAGCCAAAGCAATTTCCAAGTCTATTTTCATATATTTATTTTGAACAAAAGTTTTTAACTACATTTACATCATATTACTTTATCTTAGCTTTTATCAAAAAGGGGAGACATCACTGATCAATAGATCTGGTTTTAGCACACTTTTAAACAATACATTTTAACATTAAGTAATGAATTTGGGAACATAATTGCTAACTGCATTTTCTAAACATGATCAGGTTTTAACTCTGTTTTAACATAGGACAAGTATTCTCAATTAGTAGTGAACTGAATATTAAACTAACAAAATCAGACTAGTTAACCATGATTTTTTCCTGGAGTTTTGTTTTGCCTAAACACAGTACAACATTTATAAATAATCAAAACAAAGTAACTGTTAAAGAGTCCGAGTTTCCGCTCCTCCAAAGGGCTCTTGAACGCATCATAAAACTCCGCGTAAGTTCTGACATTCAATGATCGCGAGTGAGGACGGCGCTTACCGGCTTTTTTCATGGGGTTGTAGAAGAGTTTGTTTTCACAGTATTTGTTGCTTCTACTTACGTGGATTGTGCGCTGCGATCCCTGCTTGTCCTGCTTGAACTCACTCTGAAGTGTGTGTGTCCGTCCTTTTTAACACACCGGGTGGGTGCGGATTGCGCAGGTGAATAGTTCCACTCACCATTTCCCTCCGGTGAGGAGGGGGAGTGGCAGTTCGCCAGCACAATCCTCTCAATTTGATAAAACATTAAATAGCTCCAAAAAATAATAATAGTAGGCTGAAAAAAAACATAAAGGGGCCTTGCACCCAATTGTTTTGAAAGATGTGTTTGATTTTAAAAAACATTTTAGTGCAAGTTGATGTGAACCATGAGTGAGGAGTGTATCTCGATACAACACTAAAGTACTGGACAGTCGTGATTCAGAGGGCGACTATGCGCCCGCGCAATCTCAGACATGTCACTGTTAATTCAGCGAGGCTGAGGGACGCAGATAGAAACTTACAGAGGAGGTGGGCAATGTTTGGTGGGCCAACTGAAATGGTCTGGCGGGCCAACTTTGGCCCGCGGGCCCCACTTTGGGCACCCCTGATCTAAGCCAACAATATCTATTCAATAGCTCATGACATTTATACCTATTGTACATGTTTTTAGTGGTAGGGGAAACCGGAGCACCCGGAGGAAACTTATGCAGACACAGGAAGAACATGAACTCCACTCAGAAAGGCCCTGTTCCGACCGGGATTTGCTTCCTCTTGCTGGGTGTCAAATTGTAACTCACATGGCCCAATTTGTGCTAGTAAAATAGAGAGAGCATGTGGTGTTTTCTTTTGGGCACATAATTTTACTTTTAATAGAAATATATTGATTAATAACGGAAAAAATGCAAAGTCAGTTATCCCAGCTCTGGGTTCATCAACATTGCATCCCATTCACTCACTCAAAAACAAATATAGACAACACTTTGAGTTTAGTTGAGGTGAGGATTCAGCCGAGATGACGCAGTTAGATTTCATGTTTTATCGAGTAGAAAAATCAATATTTTGATGAACCAGGATTACTAAACTTTTAAACATAAGCTCTAAACACAAAGAAGTAAACTAAGGACTGGCCAAGATCTATGAAGAGTAGGACGATTGATTATTTTGTTCAGGCTATCAAAGGCACTAATCCTTCAGAAACATGACCATTTCTGAAAAGTTTTCGAAAGGTTTGAATCCAAATAGTGACTATAATGTAACTCTTTTAGTCCCTGGCAGATAAAAGCTGCAAGTGCTCACCCGGATCACAAATATACCACTGTTGATAGGTGCTCTTTATGGTCCTCGAGGGCAGCTAATGTACGAGAAAACTAAGACAAGAGAAGGTCCATGGTACTCTAGTAAATATTGTGGTGCCTTAAGCCACGTGCTCCGACTACCAAAGAGGTCTTAATGAAAACAGCTTAGTGCCTAATTTTAATTGAAAGGAAAATAACAATGCCTCCAGTCTTTGTTATTTGCTATTATGTAAATAAGGAGTAATTGTCGAAAGAGTCTGCTAAATCATGTAGAGCTCTGCCAAAAACCTGAAATAAAAACAAAAGACAGCAAGTGAGATCTTTTACAGAGCCCCGTGAGTCACTATTTATCTCTTTGGGGTGAGAGCTGGAAAGATGTGATAGTGGGGGGATAGTGGCTCAGTTGGTAGAGCGTTGGCCATTGAGCCTGAAGGTCGTGGGTTCGAGCCCATCATGGGACCTACTCCAACTGCTCCCACAAATGCCTACTGTCGTTGTGTCCTTGGCCAAGACACTTAACCCCACGTTGCCTGTCTTCCCGTGGACCCACCACCTGCCGGAAGATCAGCGAGGGACTGGAGCATTGGGTGGCAGCTCATCATTCTATAATCTATCTGTCCCCTCACGGCTCTGTCAAACTGTGGCCTTATTCCAGACAGACGCAGCTCTGACGTACGACGCGGTCCACATCGTGTCCGTGTCGTACCAACACGCGCCGCAGATGACCGTCAACGCCCTGCAGTGTTCCCGCCACAAGCCCTGGAGGTTCGGAGGACGCTTCATGAGCTTCATCAAAGAGGTACAGCACAGCCAGACTTCACCTGCCGCCTATTCTGTTGTGGGTACGTTAAAACAGTTTAAAGACAAGGTGGAAAAACTGCTGCTGGTTATGAATGATGTTTTTTATTTTGTATTGAGGATGTTATCAAGCGTATTTCTATTAAGTATGTGATATATCCGGCAGTCCATTCAGAGAAGAGACACAGACTTTCTTTCCGACGCACACTGGATTAGGATATTAGCTAATTCCACATTGAATGATCTACACATACACATACAGCAAGTATTCTATCTATCTAACTAGCATTTTTCAATCTATCTATTGCGCTATAATTTATCTATCTAGCTATCCACTTATCAATCTATCTATTTATTAATCCCCCTATCGATCTACCTATCCATGCATTTATCTGTCTATCTAACTTAATCACATTTTTGTCAATGTGTGCTTATAGAGAACATTTAAAGGTGATTTGCAACTTCAATTGTATTTATTTTTTATAGGAATACATATTTTTGACCATATGAGTAAACCACTAACAGTAAGATAAGCTAGAAGAGAATAGTTTGAACGATGGTGAAGGGCTATCAGCTATATGAATTATTTGCGTCCAATCGAGAAGCTGTGGGTGCCGGTCAAACTGGCGAAATCGCTCATCTTAAAACATTTTAGCGGTGTTTTGGCATGGATTGGACATGGCAGTGGATAAGGCTGTAAAAACACTGACTGGAAGATTAAGAGCACATTCCTGCAGTAATAGCAAATTCAGGTATTTTAGCTTGTTGCAAAAATAAAAACATTGACAAAAAATATGATTCAAACCTACTAATCAAACCAAACTGATGATCCCCATGAGAGCATTTCTACCAGACACAGAACAGGGGGCTGTTTTGAAATTTCGTAAACGGCTAAAATTAACAGGAATCTCTGACATTTCGGACTAAACCGTTTTTAAACCAGCCTTTCCCTCCTCCCTAATTGCTGCTTTTGAAACTACAATAATCATGCCATTGTGCCTAACCTTATATTACAGTATGTGCAAACTAAGGCCTTTTGTCAAACGGGGTTCGGATATTTACACAACAAATCAATCAAGTCCACATCCAAAGCAAAGCGTTCCGTGATAGACACATCAAAGCGCTGTTGTTGTCAGCTTCACAAATTCCCTGCATTCATAACCTATTTTCCAGAAAGCACGTACTGTAACCTTTTGAAAGCACAACTGGTGTAATCGTCTCTCATTTCATCTAACACGCGTCTGTCAGAGCGCATGGAATACACAAACAAAACAGAGGAACAGGGAGATGAAGGCCCGGTGGAGACGCAACTATTTGTATCTTTGTTTGTTCAGACGATAAAAAAAGTCATTTGTGTTTGTTTCATTGCGAGGTGTGGCGAACGGCGCTGTTGAAAATGTCAGGAATTCCAATTTAGTCTACTGTAAGATGTCCTTGGGTGTTTCAAAGCAATTACCAAAGAGATGTTATCAGAATTACAAAAATCAACGGTGCTGATAGCCAATAATTAACTGGCTCAAGGCTGATACGATACAGTCAACCAATTAGATATAATTTATTCAAAGTGGTTGCGGCTTCAAAGATGTGATAGAAGCAGCAATAATGACAGACATTATGGGTGGTCTGTGTAAATGCTTACCTATGCAAAATGGAGAGGTGGGAGGTATTGCAATGGTCGGCAAGTTTTACCAATATGAATACTTTGTCATTTATGTCATGGAGGACTGTCCTATGACAACGGATAACGGATTCTGTTATTAATCATTTGCGTTTGCCTTCTAGACAATTGAAAATTACACACACACACACACAAACACACACATGCACACAAATGGGTAAAATAGGTACAACCATTAAAAGATATCGGGCTGGATGCAGATGTACCAAATATTCCAAAACAGACAGGCAAATGGCTGTAATTTACTTATTTAAATGAATGGTCGTCAATACCATTTGAAGGGGAACAATATCATATACAGTACCTGCTTCCATGGTATATTCTAACTTATTCAACAGATTATTTTATTTCCTCAAGAAAACAACCGCATCATTTATGTTGCTCTAGACAATCAAATCTGCAGTCAAATGAATCAAAAACATTAATTTGCACCCAAGATATAATAGGTATAATAGGTATATTTGTTACCCATGTAGCCCTTATCTATATTTATGTTGAATCCAAATTAAACTATTCCCATGTATTGTAGAAACCAAAAAAAAAAAAAAAAAAAACTCCAAAGCCCATATTCAATAACAAAATACATTGCTCAAAATATCCTCCATGATATAAAAAGGTTATAACAAAGACATAGCCAGAGATGCAAGTGATGAGCTATGTATACTTTCCACACAGACAACATTGGATCTCTTGGATTCATGTTTCCCTCTCCATATCTTTAAATATTTATGAATATTTCCCAGTCATCCAAATAATAGAGAAGATATGAATATGCGATACAAAAACAACTTTGTGTGTGTAAAGGAGAGATGAAAACTTGTCGACGAGTATGTTTTGTCCACTTGAAATAAGCTGCGGCCACACGTGCATGTGGAAGCCAGATCCCGTCAGACCTTTGAAGTCAAGCGGAGTAGGGTCTGGTTAGTACTGTGATGGGAGACCTCTGGGATCACCAGGTGCTCCAGTGGGAGTGGCTGCAGCTGTAAAGTACTGAACTGTATCGAACACCTGCATTGCCTAAAATTAATCTCTGTGTGTAGATGGTCGGTGGTGGTCAAGCGGGCTGATGGCACATTGTGGTGGTCTTGCAAGTGTGCCCCAGGGCAGCTGTAGCTAAAGTAGTAATGGCATGCAAAACGTCTTTGAGTGTTCAAAAAAGCTCTATATAAACCCAATGCATTATTAGCTATATATTTGCAATGCTGTCATCCCACTCCAGTCCTCTTGATGGTAAGCTGGAAACCCTTGGTCCATACCAGTGCCCCAAACCCTTCAGGCTGATCAGAGAGAAGGATTATTTCACACTGAGCTGACTCCATTGAGATTGCATGAAGCTATAGATCACATGAGCCCAGATCAAGCATCCTGACAGCAGCCTCCTCCATCAAAGTGTCACCACGTGCCTCAGAAACGCCAGTGCCTCACCACGATAAGAACAGTTTGTACCTTGGCACCGTTTTCGTCCGTCTGAGAAACTTCAAAGAGCCATACAATCAGCAGTACCATTGTAAAAACATGCCATTATGTGCCTGGCTGTCGGGCTGTAATCACACGTGGTGGGTCAATGATGCTTTCAGTCAGAATGGCCAATTGTGCGAAGGATTGACACGCTGAATGACCTGCTATCTACTCTGCGGCATCATTATAGTTCAAAAACACAGCTGTAATATGTCAGTAATGATGACGGACACCGCAGAAGATGAGAATGCATGACACATTTCTTTTAGTATGTGGTAAAAGAGCTGTGTAAGCCTAACCCACGCTGAATGCCATATGGCATAAAGGTTGTACTTGTTTTTTAGGATAGAGTTTGTATCTAAAGAAGACTGACTAAAAGTGAGAACTGTTGTGAGGCTGTGTGAAAAGAGCAAAAATGGTTTTATTGAGCTTAGCAACAGACTCTCACTGGATAATGCAATACATGCTCAGTGTTAAAATCTTATCTTATCTAAAAGTGATGCTCATGAGCCTTCGGGACGACATAGGCTTACTTTACATATGGACTCACAAAGCTGCAAAAAAATAATTACTCACGTTTTTTGGATCATAAAATAAAAGTTGGTCAAATTTCCCTTTCCATTGATTGTATATGTTTGAAATGCAGCAAAAGCAGTAATTCAAACTGAGATCCTGGTTCTCACGATTCACTCTCTCACCTGCCACATCAATCCTGCCTCTACATACCTGCGCCTGAGTTCATCAAACAACAACCATCAGCTACACAGTCATACACTGGTTCTCATCAGAATTATTCCATGGCTGCATACAAACAGAGCCTCTCAGTCCTTGTATCAAGCTGCATGTCCATGCAGCAACCCACCTCCTCCCCATCACCACCTCTTCAGAGGAGAATCCTCCATCACCAGGGTCTAGAAGCTCAATATCATTTAGATTCCCTCCTACACCATATGACTGGATATTTGTCTTTCCAATTTGAATTTCAAGAAATACAAATAGCCTGTCAAAAATGGGCAAGCTCGTGTGGCCTGACCTGGTGGTGTGAGGGAGTTGGGTCTCTAAAATAAGCGACTGGATGTGCTGCCCACAGCAGTACACTATATTAAAAAAAAAATCAAAACTGTCCAACAGCGTGTCCTACAGTTTATTTCATTCACCCACCATGTGAAACTGCCTCAGTGTACCAACAAAAAAGCCAATACCAGGCTTTTTCAGTAAAGCCCAGTATTGGCTAAACTAATATACTTAAAACAAAGTGCCTGATCAATTGTCATACGATATACAGTATTGAAATACACTGTAAATCTTGTTGATTCTTGTTGAAAATGCTACTATTATGCTCCTTGGCTCAGAAACTCCCATTCTTCTCCCATTTATACACACACATGCGATATAATTACATAGCTGTGAGGACACAATAGAAGGGCTGATAGTATTACGTGTGTAGTGATACTCTATACAGAGCTAGCATACACTGCTTCACATCCCGAGTGGCTGTTAAATCCAGCATATTGTTTGTCCAACTACACATGTCTGCTTATCTGACCAGTGCAGGGCGATGCTTAATACGTTATGAAAACACACAATGTTGTGCGTGGAAGAGTGTATTCTATTGTTCTATGACAGAAGCCAAGCAAACACAAGTCAAAGGGAAGGTACCGTTGAAATGATATGCAGCATTTGATTTTTCTTTAAATAGACTAGTGCAGTGATCAATGAGGTATGTAGTCCTCAAGCGTAGCCATGGCTGTGGTCAATGTACACTTTATATTCATTCCCGTACGACAATATGTCCTCTGCATTTGACCCATCCTGTACTGCCACTAAAGCGTTTGTCAGGAGCAGTGGTCGCCGTAGTGCAGCGCCCGGGAACCCATCTCCATATCTTGAACCTTGGTTTGGTCAGGACCACACCTGGAGGCTTTTACCTACTATACATGTTTTAAAGTAGGGGAAACCGGAGCACCTGAAGACAACCTTCACAGACACACGGAGAACATGCAAACTCCACTCAGAAAGACCACTATGTTAGCTTGGGCACACACAGACAGACAGATGTTTGTTGCTTTTGTCGATAGATTCAGTCACCCACCTCAAAAAGGACGCTGTGGGCCGGATCTCATATCGAGAACATAACGAGTGATTACATACATAGATAATTATTTGTGTAATTTCTAGTTTATACGACAGCATCCAAACCAATGGTGCTTGGGGCTGGACTTCCAGGGAATCCGAATGGGGGCATTCGTGTGTGGCCCTTCCTCACAGAGAATCTAGCAAAAAGAGATGGCTGTTAATTAACTCCGTAGTCAGCCAGGAAAGTGCGTTGGAGGCGACGAGATGTAAAATGTAATTAAAAAAACTAAATGGCACTTGTTGTCTTTGTGTTTGTACGTTTTTGCCGTGGTTATGTGTGGGGGTGAATTAACATCGCAGCGAAGGATACGAGCCTCTGCTAACAGCATTTACATATTCATCGCCTGTTTGTTTGTTTTGTTATTGCTGTTATCCTTTTGCAAAAGCCACTAATTATCATTTTGTTCAGTGAAGTCAAAAGCTGTGAGAATGCATTGAACTCGAGGCGCATGCAATTTTGAACCATAAGTGAAGTCTGTGACCTCCTGTTACTTACGTGGCAATAAAAATGATTCTGATTCTCTAATATGTTTGAGAATGAACTGTTCCGCCTGCCAGCTCTCGTTCTCACCCTGATGTTGAGCGATGACGGAGGAATAACCAGTGGGATCGACAGAAGCAGTAGTTTTTACACATTTGTTAAAGCAATGTATCTGATAAAATGCTATACGTGCATGAGAAGTGTGGTTCTCATCCGACAAACTGCATGTTTTAAAATATGTTGCTGCTTTTAAAGGGGCGCTATGTAAGATGTTGCAATATTTCAGATTTCAAAAAGCAGTCCTGAACGGTGTAGTAACAGCACACGTTTCCATGACAACCCCTCCCCACCATTTTGAGGGTTTTTATTCTCTCCCAGTGCAGGTTTTGTTAGCAGACTCAAACTCAAAAAACGTCATTCTTAGTCATGTCTTTTGCCAATTTTAGGTATAGGTTTGACTCGTATTATTACCCAGAATCTTATAGTGCGTGGAGTAAAAATGTTTGTTGTTTTCTTTCTTGTTGACGAGTTAACCCTTTAGGTGCCCACATTTTTAACTACATTTGATCCGGTTAGACCTTTGAAACTGTGCAGGGCAGGGCTTGGTTAGTACTGTGATGGGAGACCTCTGGAAACAGTGAAAGGGTGCCACAGTGGGGCGGCTGTGACTGTAAAGTGCCAAACTGTCCTTAGGCAAGACACTTCACCCACATTGCCTAGAGTGAGTCTGGTGTGTGTGTGAATGGTTGGTGGTGGTGGGAGGGGCCGATGGCACAGACTGGTTGCCTCGCTTCTGTCAGTGTGCCCCAGGGCAGGTGTGGCTACAGTAGTAGTTTATCACCAGCGTGTATGGAGTGAATGAATAATGACATGATGCGTAATAAGAGTTTCCTGAAAAGCGCTGTATCAAACCGATGCATTATTATTATTATTATTATTATTAAAACGTGGACTCCTATGAATGAATAAGGGTTAATAGTCAGAGCCAATTATTACGTTCAAATCTGCAGTGATGGTGCTTGTGTTGCAGTCGCATTGGGACGGTCTGACCGGGAGGCTGTCGTTCAACAAGACCACAGGGCTGCGCACAGACTTCGACCTGGACATTGTGAACCTGAAGGAGGACGGGCTGGAGAAGGTGGGTCAGCATCAACACAGAACCATCACATGTATTTTAGTCACAAACGTCCACAGAAAAAAGAGCATATATATTTTTTTTTTTATTCTATATCCTACATCTTCTTCTTTTTGAATACAAGACTATTTTATTTTATTGAGTACTAACTGTTATTTGTAATGCACTTTTCATTCAAAGAGTAACACAACATGCTTCACAGTTCATAAAACACAATATACACGATACAAATATATAAATAAAAAACTAACTGCTGATCTGGTAAGAGAAGAAGCCTCACATTTTCAGGAAGACAGTTCTGGACTTTAGTTGCAATGTTGCCTCCCTATGTTTAGTCCTGACTCTTCTTCTACTACTTCTTCACTCACGATTTAAATGTACACGTGTATTTTATATTTTTATTCATTTACACGTGATCAGAGCGCTAGCTAATGTGCACTGTTGTTGTACAGTGTTTGCCCCACTTTACAAAAGTCCCTCGAACGTAAACAGCTACGTTCATTGGGGAAAGACAAGAAAAGATTGTCTCTGGACACACATAGCTCCTTAGCTAAAGTGCAAAATGTACCGTGCTAGAAAACAGATCCAGTCAGCATATTATATAGGTTAAACTGCAGTAAATGCTGAGCTAATGCATGTAAAGTCAGAGTTCTAAATATCAATATCCAAAAATACAACAGACCTGAAGCCTTTGCAGCTAATATTATGAAACATTTGTAGCTTATTGTAATGGATGGCTGATTTCAGTGTGATCTTTCATTGTTGCTACGGCGCAGATAATGCAAATGTGACAGTATCATTTACCTCCTAACAAGGAACAAATTGGCTGTTTCAACATAAGCATAAGTTAGTGGATCATAAAGCAAATTGGATTAGGGTACACATTAGGGTGTTAATTGCAGTCGCTCTTAATGATAATTCGAGGTGATGCCCAAAATGCTGTTTGGTGGTAATGAGCTGTATAAACACGACTGAGAAAACAGAGAGAATCTAAAAGAAAAAGGTTGGTATTGCAGAGGTTATTTTATTACAATGCCAAGCTAAGCACCTCCTGTAAAGCAGCAGACAGCTTTTGTCTACTAGAGGGCTTTCATACATTATGGATACATTTAATAGGGATAAGTCCCATTATGACTTGCTCAAGTACTCCCCACGGGCACAGGCCTGTATAATAGCCCAGGTTTTCAGCATGTAACCCTCCTGTTCAGAAGCACCGCTGCTTTGAAATCATCGCTCTTCCCTTTTCATCTCCCCTCACTGTCACTGTTGAATTAGGAACAGTCATCTTCCCAAAGTATTTGATGCTATATTAGTGTCTTCTGACAAATCCTCAAGCATGTTAGCCTGGATCAGACCATTTCTTTTCCGCACATCCGTGGAATCGGCTTTGACTCGACAAGCTTGCTAAGATGTGGACTTTTCTCCGCCATAATCCTTTGTAATTGAATATTAGCCCAAGTTTGAGCTAGTGACGGAATTATGAGTCTGAGACTGTTCGGAAAGGTGGGAGCAAACAAAGCCAGACCCTCTCCCCGCTCTGCATCACTTTAGAATCAAACCTTGTGCTAATCGCAGCTGATGAAGCACGCTAATTGTAATTGAACAATTGGTTAGACGTTCTAAAGCGGAAAGCATTGAGAAAGTTTTATTTATTTTTATCCTTCACATTAATTCAGTTGTGTGAGAAGTTCTCTGCAATGGGTGGGTCCAATTCTAAAAGAAAAAAAAAATCAACTCTGTGAGTAAATGAACCACAGAATGAGAACAACTGAAAGCAGCCACACATTTTAGTAAGAGGATCACTTTTTTAACTAGACTTGTAGCTTAGAGGCTGATAACCAGTGGTATATGTGGCATTAAACCAATTACTACTAAAGCGCACCTGTAGCTATGTCACACCACCTGAATTCTAAAAGAAAATCAGTTTTGTCCACAGTAAATGGACAAAAAGAAGGTCCGAGGCACAGCTGACTTTAAAGTAAAAACCCCTTATTTACTTGGGACACTTAAGTCTTCAGGGCAAAGCTCGGACCTTCTGTTTTTTTCCCCTTTAATTTTAAGATTCTTGCATTTTGGATCCTGATGCGCCCCTGACCCACTTACCCCACCCTCAGCGCTCACTCTCCTCTCCACATATTGGAAGCAGTGGTCACAACAAGATAAGATAAGATGAAGAGATCCTTTATTCGTCCCACAGTGGGGAAATTTCAGTGTTGCATCACAAGTTATAGAACAGTAGGAAAGAGGAGCACACGGCACAAGTTAAGTGAACAATAGCTATACTAATAAAAATAAAGCAAAATCTCTAACTCTAGCATCAATAAAAGTAAGTGAAAAGTTTTACACTTCATGACGAGTTGTTTAACAGCTTACATTTGCTTTCATGATTCAAGATTTAATCGGTAATGAATCATTTCTACAAAAACAACAAGATTACATTGTAAGCATCACTGTGATAATAGAGCGTATAAAGTTGGCAGGATGTAAACAGCACAGGGCTATAGGAGGCAGATTCACCCGTGTCCTTGTACAGCCACTAAAACAAGCTGCAGTCAAAATAACAAGTCTATAAACTCTGCTCTGACAACTCTACCACAAAAACCGGGGTACGTCCACGACATGTTGGTGCCATATGAACCAACTCGGACTCTGAGGAGCACAGGGACTGGACTTCTGTTTGTGCCAAGAGTCGGAACTAGACATGGGGAAGCTGCGTTTCAGATTCATGCAGCTAGAGTCTGGAACCGTCTTCCCGAAAATGTGAGACAGGCGTCTACTCTGGCAGTTTTTAAAACTGGACTGAAAACAGTTCTTTTTAGCTGTGCATACAAGTGAATGATTTTATCTTTGTTTTTATCTTTAATCTTTTTAATGCACTATGACTATTTATAATTTGAATCCCATGTGTGATTTTAATGTTTTACGGTTTTTAACGACTTGTGTGATTTTATTTTTTATGTTTTTAATATATCTTGTGCTCTTAATCTGTCTTTTATGTTTACTTAAATTCTAATGTTTGATGATTTATGCATGATGTAGTATGGGTTGTGAGGCGCTTTGCGTTGCCTTGTGTAGGAAAGGCGCTCTACAAATAAACGTTGATTGATTGATTGATTGAAAAACATTGCACATATTAGCCGCATCCGATATAAGCCTCGGGTTGAAGGAACTAGACAAAATAGTAGCGGCTTGTTGTCCAGAAATTACAGTAGATCTAAAATAGAACATGTACCGACACTAAACAATTACAAGACACATGCAGAGACAACAGAACATAACCAGGACATAGACACAGAAGGACTGAAGGGAGAAGGCCGTATACAACGACAATGCTAACTTAGGACAGGCCTGAAAGAAAGTATCATTACCGTATATCCCCCGATATTGTATCCCTACATTCCTGTGTTTTTCAGAGCAAACACCCACAGACTCTGGTGAATATTAAACGCTGTGTGCAGTCATAGAATCGTTCAGAAGGAGGAGGTTATAACGACGTTGCAGATCCAGATTGCTACAGACCGCCACAGGACTATTTGTGCTAATGATACCTTCCGTAGTGAGGCTCCGCAATGTGCAAAGCTTTCCACCCGGGGGTTGCTTGCGTGTAACTCCTTTTTATTTGTTTAAATCTTTAGGCTTATCTTAGCACTACTGCGGAGTAAAAAATGGCTTTTCCGATGTAAACCAGCTGGCAACCTCCCCTCGCATTTTCATTGAAATTAACTGTAAGCTCTCTGCTGTACTTTCAATAGAGTGGCTTTGTGTGACCCCCGGGCGCTATATCATTGTAGTTTGCAGCAATAAATATAAGCTGCTCTCACCACAGCAGCGGGAGCCAACAGGGAAACAGAGAGGGCCGCTCTTTGAGATTCTTCAGCATGACACGATTCTATAATAAATGAACTGTATACTATTCTCTATACAGTACAAATTGACAATATGAATGACTACTGTGTGTAATATATTTAATCAAGAGATCAAAATATTGCAAAACAACATCGGAAATGCACTAATATAGATGAAATAGAGACATTTAAGGACATTTATGGACGTCTATTCAAATGTATGGCTATGTATTTGTATTTATAGACATCGGTCACACGTCCCCTATGGAAAAATGGCTTCTATGTGTTTATTATTACAGCGTTTCTTGTGTTGGAATGATCCTCTGGGATAAAAATACACTGAATTGAACTGAATTAACCCTTAAATGATTTGCTCAACCATTTAATGGATCACTTTTTGTACCTGAGGCATGCTTTGAACTGAAATCTACCCTCACTGGGGCATCTCTACCACGTGGTCTAAGGCAATTTTCTCATCAAACTGCTTCTCAACCATTTTGTAGAGACCTATAATGAAAATAATAAAAAATCTAGGGGGTTAAAACAAAACAACAAATTATTGTACTAGTTATGTGTGCTCCAAAGTCTTTGAAAATCCAAAGTATGTATATATTCTTTCATTGCTTTCTTCCTGAAGTGATCATTTATGGGTTAAACCTCATGCAGCTAACACCGCGTGCAGTCATCATAAGAAGCAACAATGCCGTCGCTCTATAGCTCCTCATTTGTCATCCAACTCTCTCCCATCCACTTTGATCCTTTGAAAGCAGCGTCACCTCTGCGCCGCTGACCCCCGGGGATAGTTTTTGCCAATCACCTAATGCCTGACACTCACGCCGCACGTCCAGGCCTCTATAGCGCTAATGTACGCTGCCGCTGTGATGGTGGGCAGGTGGGGGCGACGGAACACTTACCCAGGTGCCTTTTATCTCCCGCAGGTGGGCAAGTGGAGTGCGTCGGGTGGGCTCAACATCACAGAAGTGCCCAAACGAAAGGGGATGAACATTACCGACTCGCTGGCCAATCGCTCCCTCGTCATCACCACCATCTTGGTAAGGTCAAGCCTGCAAATACGACACGTTTCAACGCCGTTTCAACACAGGGCTCTCTCCAAAGAGCCCTGTGCGGAAATAGTATAGACAGCATTAGCAGAGCGCGGAGTGGTTTTAGATAATTGCATGTTCATTGAAACGCTGTGCATGTATTCTGCTGCTGTTTCACGAGTGCAATCATTATTATGTTATATCATGAACTGCTTTCACTTGTTTATGTTATACGGAGAGCAGTGAATCCATAGGCTGTTAGCTAAATGCAATTACTGAAGAAAATGCCTTTGGTTTACTCCCACAGCAATGAAAAATGTTTTACAAACGTGGTATAGTCAGATAACACTACCCCATGCTGTTGTTTACTAGTGCTTGTAATGTTACAGATGAGATATTTTAGATCTTTTCGCAACAGAGTAACCTGGAAGTTTTATTCTTAGTTTTACCATTTTTTTCGGACAGAGAGAAATTAAGACAAATTAAGAATTTTATATGACAAAATGTGTCACGACAAAGACGCCAACTCACAGGTGTTAGTCCAAACATACGAGACATGACTGAATCACAGGCCTCTATATTATGTTTACTGTGTGTACATTTTTTTAAAGCAGGATTCCACAGTAGTATATGTCGTTTGGATTTGATTTTAGGTCAATAATTGATTTGTCTTTTTGTTTATCGTAATTCTCAGGTTAATAGGCACTACTTTTGTCAAGTGGAATGCATTTTTTCTTGGTGAGGAAAGTTTACATGTTTATTTTTATTTTGCCGCATCTTTCCATTACCATGGGAACCGGGAAGAGCGGAGTCTCAATTTAGCAGGCCGTCGCAAATGCCTGTTGTCAAAGGCCGTCGTACCTCTAGTAAACAAACATTGAACTCCCTCTAACTGGATTTCAATCACTTTCTGTACATGAAAGAAAAGAGAGTAGCATTCAAGCGTTTTTAGGCTTTTTTGGACTCAAGCAACTTTCTCAAGATATTTGGCATCAATACAGATGGGTACAATTCTCATAATCCGTTCATTGCTGACATGGAAGCTAACATCTAAGGTTAGCATAGCAACCTCCGTCTTACTACAATCTTGATACTTCATCTCAAGCAGATATACATATTATGTTTTTTGTTACTATCCGTGACTCTTCAAACACTAATTTAAATGAGGATTTACATTTGTGGCAGGCATTGTACATTTAATTTGAGATAAGTCAAGTGTTAGAAATATCAGCGCACTGTGAAATGAACTACCAAGATTTCAGTGAGCCCTGCAATTATGAAATGTTAAATCTTTCCGTCATCAGATTTCTAGAGCCATATCAGTTATGTGTCCTCTAACCCATTACCGAAACTTCCCCACTGTGGGACGAATACAAGTTTTCTTCTCTAAAAACCTGTGCCCTACATTCAACTGTTCAAAGTACATTTATTTTATTTTTATTCTCGTATGTGGCAAAAGAACAGGTGTGAGAAGTCCAGTATATAATGGTAGTGCTCAAAATGCCTGCAGTTTCATATTTATGCCACTTTCTATACATGCAGTGCTCCGTCTTGTGGCCACCTGCATGTGAAAGCCAGGGGCCGTATTCCTAAAGATTCGTAGTGCTAAAAGTTGCTCCTAGTAGCCAAATTCTAAGAATTTTCTTAGAATCTTGACCAACTCTTAGAATTTCCCCTAAAAGTGAGGAGTAGATCCTAGTTAAGATAAAAGCTATTCCTAAAGAACCCTAGCTCTTAAGAGTGCTCCTAAGGTGAGATCCCTTAAGAGTTGAGAGGAGGACTTTTAGCGACTTAAAGTTCCCTAAGAGACAAAATGGTGGACGGTAGAAGCAGGAGAAATATTCTATAAACTGGATGACAGTGAATCAGTGAAATGCTGCAGATTGAGTCGTGCAGGAATCATGTTTGTGGTATATTTAAGAGTAAATTATGTGAACAGCTTCTTATTGGCTGGTCAGCAAAAACACCTCATCCATTTTACCCTTGTTACACAAAAGTAGGTAGAAATGGTAAAGGTTTAAAGAGAAAAAATGACCAGCATGGTAATTAATAAAAGCAAGTAAATATAACTACTATTGTGTTAATACTGTCCAAGTGGGCCTACATTTTCACACATTCAGTATGAATGAATGAATGAATACTTTATTTCGAGCCATGGCAAACAAGGAAAAAGGACAACAACAAACAAAACAACAGAATAGAAAAACTACAAATATACAGTTTTGTTTTATTAAAAACAATCCAGCTCAAAAAGGAGTGTGAGGAAGTTAATACTTTTAAACTCCCACTCTCTATCTATCATTCTAAATTAACTTAAATGATGTGGTTGCTACAGCTTAGTTTATTCCGTGGTATATTTACAGTTATGCAACAGTGACATTTTCAATAATATGCACTTGACTTGTACAGTGTATAAATTAATATGTTTATATTAACATTTTTCTCTTAATTCCTTATATGTCTTACAGTATCACAGCCTTCACTAATCCTAATGTTATCATCATTTATCCATATAATATTTATAATAATAATAATTTTCTTTATCATGTATATTATATATAGAGTAGTGCTGTCCAACGATTAAAATATTTAATCGCGATTAATCGCATGAATTTCATAGTTAACTCGCGATTAATCGCAAATTAGTCACCCATTTGCGTGCTGTGTGCAATTTCTTTTTTTATTGAAAACAATGTGTAGTGTTATATTACACACTAACATTTGATGCAAAATCATCAATAAATGGATGACAAAATAAATAATTGGTAACAAAAAGCCCCTTCAATGTGTGTGTGTGTGTGTGTGGAGTGTGTGTGTTTATGGGTGTGGGTGTGTGTGTGTGTGTGGGTGTGTGTGTGTATGTGTGGGTATAGACCATTGACTGTATAGAAACATCATGGTGTCATTATGATGATGATAAACAATTTTTTTGTAAATTTGTTCATGTAAATACTCTATAGTGTTTCTCTGTTTACTTTCGGTATATCTATGACTGTATACTGTTTGCTTGTATTGCCTTTTTTATTAACCCCTCCCCCCCATCTCCCACTTCATGTCCCCCCCCCCCTCCTATGTGCCCTTCTGGGTTTCTTCTTTGGCCCCCTGTATCTCCAACTACATATTGTTTGTAATCTCTGTCTACAATGTATCTTAACTAGTCCTTTTCTTTGTGTCTATTTTTTTCTGTATATGTGTTTGTCTGCAATAAAAAGTAAAAAAAAAAAAAAAAAAATATTTTTTTTTTTTTTTTTTTTTTAATAATTATAAAAAAAATTAATGGCGATAAAAAAAATGACGCCGTTAATATTGATTTGCGTTAACGCGTTAATAACGCGATATTTTGGACAGCACTAATATAGAGTAATATTTAAATTATATATATATATATATACACAGTATATAAGTGCTCATGATATATACGTGTGTTAAATATGTGTGTGATAAATTGGTGCTGAGCAAGCTCTAATGATGTAGTGTAAAAGTCTATCTTACTATTCACAGTATTAATTTACCATTGATATATCTGACTTTCTACCTTTTCTGACTGTTATTTACAATAACACAGTGTTCACTAAGATAAAAGTTGTCGTCCATTCCTTGCTCAGAGTTCTCTAAGAGTGTTCTGGAATAACTTTTAACAGCCCCAGATCCTGTCAGACCTCTGAATCAGTGCAGGGCAGGGCCTGTGATCCCATCACGGGAGACCTCTGGAAACACCTTTTGCCATAGCGGGGCGGCTGTTAAGTGTCAAATTGCCATTGTGTCCTTAGGTAAGACACTTCACCCACATTAGAATGAGTCTGGTGTGTGTGAATGATTGGTGCTGGGAGGGGCTGATGGCACATGCTGGTTGCCTCGCTTCTGTCAGTGTGCCCCAGGGCAGCCGTGACTTTAGTAGTAGATTATCACCATCCTGAATGGAGTGAAAAAATGGTGACATGTGAAGCGCTGTATAAAACCGACGCATTATTATAATTATTATCCAACATTTTCCGGATACCATCGGCCGTTGCATTCATTCCCTCATTACTGCCATCATTCAAAAAATACCGTATTTCTGACACAGTTCCCGAGTCACTCTTTTATTCCTTCATTTGCCATTTCATTAGCTGAGCTCATAAAAGTGCCTAGTTTGAGATTGCTGAACTTTAATATCGGTCGCCTCTCTCTCATAGTGTAACGACATTGCATCAAACCGCTCCCAGTGATGCGTGAACAGGACGTCTGACAGCTTTATACTGATAACTTTGTGGAGGAGATTAAGACTCCTAATGTGTTTTCCCCCGTACATTAATTGTTTGCACTCCATTGCCCGTAATGTGAGCCCACCTCCCACTCCGCCGATGCCCCCCATGCTGCTATTTCACACCAATACTGTTAAATCTTCAAACTTTGGGGAACAGTGAGGGATTTGTGGGATTGGAGCAGATGGTACAGAGCTCAGAAAAACAAGTTCAGTAAGTTTGTAGCATTAAGCCTTATCTGTGTATTAAGTATTCATGTGGTATTACTTATTCAAGAGGCTGATTGTGCCGTAATGTCCTCATGCTGCATATGAGCGTATTCAAATAATGAGGCTTTGTTTCGCAGTGTATTGTCTGTGATAGTCATTTGATTTAAGTACAGGGTAGAGATGCTAGAGCAGGGCCTGAAAAGTTTTGGAAATGAATCACCAAACACATCTAAATTGGTCATTTGGCACATATACTTATTTTCATCATGTCTGTGTTTACCGGTGAAACTCTGGAAATGACTCTGAGAATATTGTTCATAAGTTGTATTTCTGTAATTCAATGGTGATATTGATTCTTTACGTGCAATGTGACATACACCAAGACAAAGTGTGTGATGATTTTAATGATTATGGCTTTGCAACATATTCTTAGGGACTTTTTAAATCTCCAAGTTTCACGTTTCACCACAAAAAAACGCTGTATAAAGCCCATGCATTTTAAAGGCGCTATACCCGTTTCTGCAATGTTTGAATGTTTAGCACCGCCCCCCAACTCGCTCAATGGCTTCTCATGTCCCCTACGCTCTCATAACACAGAGCCACCTAGTTTTATTTGCGATCTGATACATATGCTAACATTAGCATTAGCGCAACTTCTTGTAAGCTCAACAACAATCACTGATGAAATGGTACTAAAGCAACGCACTGCTAACACAATATATAAGTAAAAGAATACCGCTAGTTTCGCGTCCGAATGTATTAATTTAAAACCTTAGAATATATTCTAATATTTAATTATAATTTGTTATAGAGCTCCTCAAAGCAGCAGCAGCAATTCTTCCGATCATTTTTTCTTGATAACAGAACTCTCAAACCAATAATGACCGAAGCCCCAATGCAACCTCTGTTTGTAATTCAGGTGTGTAAAATACTGCCATTACTCTGCAAGTACAACAAGCTATCAGCACCTGTCACTACACACTTGTCTGTGCAGAGAAGCTAGCGGAGCTAGCCACGCTCAAAAACAAATACATATCAATCAATCAACACCATTAAACGTCAATCGGACAATACAGTACACATATACATCCTTAACACACAGGCACGGACGATTTCAGAATTTGATGTTAACGTTTTCATGACAAAAATACTGTTAATGTGACAAAAAGCGATTGCGAAAAACCCGGAAGTTACCATGAAACAACTAGCTAGCTTAGCTTAGCCTAGCACGTCCCGGTGAAACCTTTGGGAGATAACTATTTTATTTGCAGTCATTAAATACATTTCGAATTACAAGGGTTGTCTAATATTTGTTCACATTTTTTTATTCAATTATTTTGTTCATCATTTTTTATTTTAGAATTATATTCGAATTTTGAAGTCGAAGCCCTGGTGTTAAGCAGCGCTGTAGGGGCTAGAGGACGCAGGCTGTTCACTGCTCGTTCTGTGAGCGGAGGAGAAAGAGCGGCCCGCTCAGACTCTACTCAGCACTTTTCACTGCTTGTAATTCTTACACAGCTGAATCAATTACCTCAAGTTTTCAATTAAATGATGTATTATGATACAACTTGTATGTAGTAAAAAGCATTTTTATGAACTACTTAGAAAAAAAATCGGGTATAGCTTCTTTAATCAAAGTTTTAAGTCATGTTTTGTTATAAACTTCTGTCCATCCTCGCTTTCTCTCACTAAAGCTGGCCATGTCTCTGTGTGCCTCGGTTAGCTTAACACTAGACCTCCCAGAGCAGTCAATTTGACGGCTTTTCATTTTGTAAGCGTGATTACCCCGCTTATATACACTTTTGGTCTTTAAAACTTTGTGACTTTTTCTTTTTCTATATGTAGTTTATGTGAATGTTATTATGTTGATGAAAGTATCTCAATCATAGACTGATCCCAGACTGATCCTAGACTGATCTGAGACTGGTTCAGAGCAATCTCAGCTTGGATTAAGTGCTAGTTACCATAGCAACACACTGTTTACTTGCAACAGTTAGCATTTAGTTCTGCTTTATTTCATCTATATTAGAGACATAGACATAGACATGGCCTTTGAGCCTGAAGGTCGTGGGTTTGACCCCACCGTAAGACTTACTTCACGACTCCCACTGATGTCTGCTGTCGTTCTGTCCTTGGGCAAGACACTTGACCCCACTTTGCCTGAAGCCCCCGCTGAAAGATCTCAGCTCCTGTGGACTCACCACCTGCAGGAGGATCATTCAGGGGCTGGTGCCGTGTGTACTGGGTGGCATCTCTGACTGCCACCCCCCGACCCAGAAATGGATTAAGGGGAAGAAAATTAATGAATGAATGAATAGTATGTATTAGCAGTAAAACCTGTATACATTTCTTATGTTTTATAAAATCAGTGAAAAATCTTTTACTTTTTTTGATCTGAAATCCATTCATTTGAATAGGAGCCGTCAAAATGGCTGCTGTGGGAGTTCTAATAGTTTCAGAATTCTGACAGTCCTAGTGCTGAATCGATCCCGGTCTGTGACACTTCTCTTTACACATTTTAATATCAAAATAAAAAATAAAGTGCCAAACCTCCTGTCACTGGTAAACTATATTACATCCCTCTGGCCTCCGTCTGCCCTATAACCACCTCCTCTTCCCCGGTGAAAAACAATTTCCTCCGAGAGAAAAACCGTGCTGTGGCAACCCATTTTCTCATCTTTTCTCCTCCAACAAATATAAAAACACAACACAAAGCATGGGTCACCTTCACTAGAATCAATTACTCCGCTTCACAGCTCACTTTATGAAATTATACATCTGGTCATTGGAGGCAATAAATTATATTAGGGTCCCTTTGAAGGAGCGGCTGCTGTTGTCAAAATGCTCTGTGGAGAAATGTGAAACAGGAAATGGTTTATGAGCAGTTTTTCTAGTCCGAGTTAGCGAGTGACAACTGATCAAGCCCATTGTATATTTCATCAGTGCATTCTCCTCCTAATCAAGAGGTTATACAGGCAGAATTATGAGCAGGCTGCTGGAGGATTACGAGGCTGTAAAGAGCGTCGCACACCTCTGACCTGGCAACAAGCAGAGGCCGGAATACAATATGCTCAGTGAGAATATGAATGATCTACTGGGAAGGACACGTTTAAAAGACTTCACACTGTTTGTTTTCATGTATTTCAATGGAACTTGAAGAAATGTTGAATTATTAAAACTATGAAATATTAAATTGAACTCAACATTAGCGAAGAGACGGTTCACGCGTGACATACAATATTAGGGCTGCTAGTTTTGAGTTAGTATATGTTTGTTTAGGAGATATTTGAAGTGAGCAAAGATAATGCAATAATTCAAATGACTGTGAAAACAATGGAAAAAGTAGATAATTTTAGTTGAAAAGCAGTTTTTATGGTTTCCTTAAATGCTTTAACAGTAACAAGGATATTTGTTTGTGTTTTTTTGACATTTCAACAATAAAGTCTGTTTGTCACAACTAAAAATAATCCTGTTTATGTCACATGTAACCACAACATGCTGTTTTTTTCTAATTATGAGGCTGAGGGCATCTCGTTTTTTTTGTTTGCTTTGTTAATTTCTAAATCCTCTGGTGAGCTACTTGGAAGGTTGGAGACGCCAGCTATACTGTACATAGGCAAGGCAAGGTTATTTGTATAGCACAAATTCATACACAAGGCAACCCAAAGTGCTGAACAAAGTAAGATAGCATTAAAATGATAAATTATCACAGTATATTAAAAAGAAAGATAAAAATACAAAATCCCTCAGTTGTATGCACAGCTAAACCGAACTGTTTTTAACCTGGATTTAAACATTGTCAGAGAGCAGGCCTGTCTCACACTTTCAGGAAGATTGTTCCAGATTTTAGCAGCATGAATCTGAAAAGCAGCCTCCCCATTTTTAGTTCTGACTCTGGACACTAACAGGAGTCCACTCCCTGTGCTCCTCAGAGTCCGGGCTGGTTCATATGGGACTAACATGTCACTAATATATTTTGGTGCGAGGCCATGGAGAGACTTGTAACAAGCAGAGCTGTTTTAAAGTCTATTCTCTGAGCCACAGGAAGCCAGTGCAGAGACCTGAGAACTGGACTAATGTGGTCGTACTTCCTGGTTCTAGTCAGGACTAATGTGGTCGTACTCCCTGGTTCTAGTCAGGACTAATGTGGTCGTACTCCCTGGTTCTAGTCAGGACTCGAGCTGCTGCATTTTGAATAGACCCGAGTATGTCATTTTACTCCTGCACTTTTGCCTCCGGAGCCTATTCTCTTCCCTGGTCTAAAAAAACAGTGAGCATTCCTTCATATTTGGTATCCGGGCGCTGATCTGCACTGGGCGCCTGTCAGTGCCGGTTAACTGCTACAGCGGCTCATCAGCGCGGATCACTTTGCTTCAATTAGGTGCATGTGCCGAGACAAATTGAAAAAGCTGACCTCACCGATGCTTTCTATTTGATCTTTTGGCTGTGTGCAGGAGGAGCCATATGTCATGCTTAAGAAGTCTGACAAGGCACTGGTTGGGAACGACCGCTTCGAAGGATTCTGCATCGACCTGCTCAAGGAACTGGCAACCGTACTGGGCTTCACCTACGAGATCCGACTGGTGCCCGATGGGAAATATGGGATTCCCGACGACAAGGGCCAGTGGAACGGGATGATCCGGGAACTCATCGAACATGTGAGTGCTTCTGTTTGTTAGCGTTTGAGCAAATTAATGTTGGGTTATTAAGATTAAGATTGAGATTAAGAGGTCTTTGATTCGTGATTCGGGGAAATTTCAATGTTGCATCATCGGTTACAGAACAGGAGGAATGAGAAGCACACAACACAGGATAAATGACCAATAGCTCTATACTAAAATCAGAAAATTAAAACTTTAGCATATAAAACAAGTGAGTATACAATCTCTAGATTTAGCATATTAAGGAAGCTAATCTAAAATCTCCAATTTTTGCATAATGAAGAAGCAAGAATTATGTATAAAATGTCTGACTTTAGTTTACTCTGGACTCTCAGCTTACTGTCTGAATATGTAATGTGAGAATCATGGAGGATTTTAGTTGGGGATAATGTCATTCAGTATTTTTAGGGAAACTACCTAAAAGGTAAATCTACACAAAGAAAATCTATAAATGTGTGGGTTGCTTTCTATCTCAAGGCAGTGGTTCTCAAATTGAGGTTTGGGTGAGGAGTTTGTGAGGTAGTTTCAAGATAGCAACCAAATAACTTTCAAGATTATTGGTCCTCCCAATTGTCAATCATTCTGGTGTTCATCAAATAAGATAAAAGTGGAGAGGGACGTTATATCCTTCTTCTTTCCTAACTTTTGGTAAAATCCTCCTATATGCCTTTAACCAAACATACTACAACACAGCACAATGTTTTTTATTATTTTTTTTTATTTAGCTCAAGCCTCAACATTACAGAGCTAATGCCTTAACATCTTTATCATTTCAAATGTTATATATTTCTGGGATTAGTTCCAATTTCTGCAGTGAATAATTCATATAAATTAATTGTTTTGCATATTTGAATAACTTGTGTCTAAGGACTCTTCTGCACTAACAATATTTAAATTGCATAATGATGATATTATTGTGTTGTTCATTATTGAGTATGAAAGTAGCATTCTGGATTAGCGTGGATTAGCATGAGTCTTATTTCAGTTTTTTGTGCGACTTTATTTGAAAACAAGGACAGTATTGTTGCAGGTCTCTAAAGTCTCACATAAAACATTAAACCTATCCATCTTCATGGAGACGGGAAGGTAACATGTCAGACAGGACCTGGCTTGTCTGATTCCAAGGCTTTTCCCTTAAAAAAAAAAAAAAAACATCACCTAAAGAATAAATGTGATGTATTATTGTCAGACCATTGAAAGAGATGACACTCTTTTTACTTTGTGACTCCATGTTTTATAATGTAAATATCTTATGTAGAAAATGTTTGGTAAAAGACATGTCAAACTACCAAAGGGAGGTGTATAATCTGTTTAGTTTTGTTTTTCAAATTCCAAATAAAACCTCAAACACAGTCATGTGTTTAGTTTCTTTAGTAAAGAACATCATGTCACCAAATTTTCAAAACTAATTTAGGAAAAGTACTTTTTTAAAGGCAGAAAACTCATAGTGGTGCAATGACATCATACTATCACAGGACTGAGACAGAAGTTTTAAGACAGAAGGGGGCGGAGTTACATGTTTTTGCCAGACCTTCCTGGTATTAGCGTGGATGCAACTAAAAACAACCCCAAGTCTGTTTCTAATGAGGGGACAATGTTGCAACACGGTTAAAAGTTCACTCAAGTAAATTTGCATGCTATATTTTCTTAAAGATTCAGATAAATACTAATGTCAATGGCAGATTTATTTGTAAAACTACAACACCAGCTGCTCAAAGTGCTTCACAGGCACAAACAAAAAAACAAAAGGGTTATTGAGATACAGTACATACCACAAGAGTCTTGCCCAACCCGGACTCAAGGGCTGCATCCCCCTCACGGCCTTGGAGCCGCCCCAGCCCGGCCTTGCACGGCCTCGGTCCCCTTTCTAGAGTCTTGAGTCTACAGCCGGTCCGTCCACGGTTCAGCAGATCCCTCCCTCAATGTGGGCCTCTCTGAGCTTTTTTACTTCCTCCCACTGGGTTTTCCAGTTGTTCTTTGCCGATGCAGGAAGGTCTATGGACAGTGATGATGATCCGGGACATTTAAGCACATTTATGTACATATATTAACATTTGGTCATCCATCTCCTATGGACCAATGGCGTTTGTTATTGTTGAATTCCCTGTATTTGAACTGTTTAATTCTCTGATCTGTGTTGGGGGATTGCAGTTGTGATTTAGGGCTAAACAAAAATGAATTGAACAGAATTGAATTGAATACCTAGTTATACAAAACACCACACCAGCCCTTTAACCACTCCAGAGAGCTCAGAGTGACATTCCCCTTTGACAAGCCAAGTCAAAGTGCAAGAAGTCCCATCGCAAAGTGCACATGAAGAGGAAATCAAGCTCAGAGCACCCTCCACTCTTGTTTACACCCTGCGGCTATAACAACACAGCGTTTACAATCAGGCCAAGTTAGCGAGCCGCTCAAACGTGCACCGTGTCCTTCAAGTGGACAGTGACATAGATATGATTGAGTGCTCGACATGAAAAGCCCGAGAAGCTGTCAGCCACATTTACGAGATGATTCTGTCAAGGTTGTCCAAAACTTCAAGCGTATTCATAGCACTCAGCCAGACAGACCACTCCCCGCAGAAGAATACGCCGCCGCCCAGGCCATGTTGCGGGTGCGTAAGGATACCGGGAGGACACACACTCGCAATCACCCTCTACCCTGATGCATTGTGGGTAATCGCAGCTTGTCTCTGTCAAACTGTGTGCAAGCTTTAGCGACCGTGAAAACGCTCGCTCGTGATGGTGGCAATTCCGGCGCTGGCATTTCATAAGTGTCTCCCCTGTCAGTGTTCTGTCTTTGTCCTCGCAGCCATCAGGTCAGCGCTGTACTCAGCTGAAAACTTGTAATAGCTTAAGTGGCATTTAGTGCAGGGAATCGTATGGCAGGAGTCAATGGCTCGGTGCTGAAAGGGTGGGGGGAAAGGTGGCCTATAGCGACGCACCACTTTATTTCTCCCTTCCAGCTTTTTGCTAGATCTATGTTGATAACAATAACCTTGAGGGGAACAAATGGATTACGAAAGGCGCTGGATGCTGGCAAGGAATGGAGACGCATGGCTCTATCCATTAGACCGTGCGCTCTCTGGCTTTGAGTGTGCTTGTGCTTGAGTTTAAAAGGTATATCCACGGCAACTATTTCACTGTACCTTCTAACAGTACAGTACATGTTTTTTGCACTTACATAAGATGCTTGAAAAACATACACCTGCCCCGAAGCCTGAGTCCTGGATCTATTGTCTGTTTGTTTGGCCTCCCTTTTCTCATTTTTTCCCACTGGGTTTTTCAGTCTTTCCTTGCCGATGCAAAGGGTTCTAAGGACAGTGATGATCCGGGACACTTATTGATATTTTTATTGAACATGTATGGACATTGGTCTTCCTGACTAAATAACTCAAATGTGTTTGTTATTATTTCATTTTCTGAGTTTGAACTGTTTGATTCTTTGATCTGTTGTTGAGGAAACTTTGTAAAGTTGTCCCAGATGACTGCTGTTGTGATTGAGAGCAATAAAAAAATAAAATTGAATTGAAAAGCAAAATATTCAACACACTGGTTTTCTTTGTGACACATAGCCTTGGGTGCAAACCTTGAGGAAGACCAGAGTGACCAGGTTTTTGTTTTTCAAAGTATCTCACAGATAAAACCCTCTCTCAAGAAGAATTTGAACTCCTATACCAACTTTGTCCCTAAATTAATGTTAAAATGTTTGATAAATGTAGTGTCATATTTGTTCAACTATATTTTGGATGACTTAATGTGAAATCATGACTGGTCCAGGAAGTTTAACGTTTGGAGGATTAATGGACAGTGTGAGAGTTTATGAGACTGTGGTGGCAAATTGTGTTGATGGTATTTGTTATTTTAGATACTTTTGTCTGCATGATAAAAACAAAGATATTGACAATGTTCCTCATTTCCCTGGAGGCCTGTAACATGCCACTTGCAGTAACAGACAGTGTTCTATATAAAAAATAAAAACAAGTCTTGTTTATTCATTATAAAAATATGTGATTAATGTATTGCTGTGTGCCAGGAATATTGACAAAAATATGATCAAAAATCTTTTCAAAACTTGAATGAGAACTGTCCTGGGATTTCTTTAACTCAGGTTTATCACTGTCTGGCTCATTCTATCTCCTCAAATGCACTCTCATTGTTTACAACCATAAACACTTACCATTAATACAGAGTCCTTCATCCAGATTGAAAATATATACTCTATTTTTGGAGAATATTGTCCATAAACAGGAGCAGATCCACAGCTTGGGATCTATAATGCCTGTTATTACTTTTCAACGCCGGCTTATCTCATAACCGGGGATGCATGACTCCTTTGTGGATCTTAGTGGCTTCTATTTTGTGGTCTAGTGCTCTTCACTGCGCTGTGTGGATAAGATGGGCATGCTTCAGTCAAGCCAAAAATAAAGTTTAGAGTGAGTTCAGAAGAGTTGACCTGAGGCTGAATACGTACTTACTGTGCATTCATTTTTCATGAGGTTTTTTTAGGTTTTTTGGGGGGGGGTTTTAGACGCGAAAAGACAAATAACATTACAATTATTTATTTGCTCAGTGGTGATAAACTACTGATGTAGCCAAAGATGCCCAAGGCCAGAGTGACAGAAGAGAGGCAACCAGTATGTGTCACCCGCCCCTTCTGGCAACCACCAATCACTATATGTATATATATATATATATATATATATATATATATCATTTATATGTGTTTAGTTCCTACACTGTTTATGGGAGAAAATTTGAAAAAACAAATTCCATCCTCAATACTTATAGAAGCAAAGTCCAAACTGAATATTAAATGACCTGTCCAGTTATAATAGTTCTTACACTGCAATAATTGAGGAACAATTAGTCAAAAATGGCTCAGAATTGGCTCCATTATCTTAATTTGAGCATACTTTGACTGCCTTAAAACAAGATTTGCAAATGGGACACATACATTATCTTTGAAAATATACAGGAAATGGCTCCCTTGGAATGAGA